ATTGCCCTTGCATTTCATTCCCACGCGGGCAAGGTCGGAAGCTTCGGGATCCTTTGGCCCACTGTGCCCATATTGCCTACAGCGTATGCACCGTGCCCAGGGGCGTCGATGCCGATGCCGGGCGGTCGGTACCAGCTAACGTACCGGCCTCCGTGAGGGGGACAGCTTCCTTGAAGACAAAAAGTCCAGTGAAGAGAGCCGGTGCAGAATGGTCCCCAGACTCGCCAGCTCAACAAACGGTCAAGACTCATGAAAGTGACAGATCCGGGGAATGGCTGATGCTTGCAGCGACTCGATCTCAGACATTACTGCTCGGAAAAAGCAATCGTACTCACGTCCTCGTGTTCTTACTGGCTGCTTGCAAATGCCAGTCGTCTCAAGACTAACGACACACCCCCATGGCTGCTGACAATTGTTCCAGGTCACCCTAGAGCGCGAGCGTGCATTGTAGATCCTCAAGGGAACGTGGGAATCAATATGTTTTTTTTCTCGTGGCACGTAGGATACCAGCTCGACGATTGCCCGTCAATTCCATATCAAGATCTAACGATGTTGGTGAGCAGGGTTCTTAGCCCTGTCGCTGCGCAGCAGCCAGCCGTCCCCTCAGCTCTCCACAAGATAAAAGTGATGATCACTAACAGCAGCCAAGTTTTGGAGTGGTGAATAGTCTCCGCAAGAGGGTCAACATGCCCTCATACTGCATATCGAGCTGCATGAAATCATCGATAGCTTCCACGGTTTGTTTGCGACCTCAGGTCCTCTCCTCCACTTAGCTTACGATGCAGGATGAATCGATGCTGCTGAGGTGTAGTAATGGACAGGCCATCAGCACGTAGATAACAATTGCAGGGCACTCACTATATTAACCTGCCATGGCTAGATGGATTCCCATTACTGATGAATTTTTCCTTGGATCTGTCCAAGCCATCGGCGTTTCATTCGCCGGTCGTGCAACTCTGGGTACAGACGTCAGCGTGTTTCGATCCATCTGGGAGACTGGCTGGACTGCAGAGTACTACCGACCTCAATTAGGCGAAGCATTATAGACAGTTATTAGTCGCGACAAGGGATGGCGATTGAGACATGATGAAATAATCAAAAGCCCTGCCTGCTAGTATCATGCCACCGAGACTGTCTTTGTCGTTCATCTCGTGCCATTCCACGGGGATCGCCGACATGATCGAATTTCCAGAATCCTATGCTTGGCTTGATGCGGTTTTCTGCGAGCCCCTGCTTTTGCTTGGATTGTTCATGTGCTCTTCTTCTTTGCTTCGTCAACCGTGCCGTGACGTCAATCAGGTTTTCTCCGCTGCAGCTATGTCAACCAGCGAGATCGATCTATGAGCCTCGCTGCCTTGTTAGATGCCCGGACACCCTATGATACTGGCCCCTTAAATAACCCCCAGAAGCGAGGAAGCTGCTTGTGTGACCCCTTCTTATTATGGTCAATGCATCATCGCATCCGTATCGGTACTGCCTGTGTCGCATGGTGCCCCGGCCAGCCCGCCTTGCCTCCCCTGGCAGTCGCCGTTGTCGCTGCCGACGGCGCGCACCACGCCATGACCTCGAGAAAGCGAGGCTGGCGCTGAAAGAGCTGCACGATTTCCATGGTTTGTATCCACCTGAGGACTGCGCTCGCAGGGGACACGGGATGTGCTTCGACCAGTGAGGGCTGTAGACGTCGCTGTAAGAATCCTCGAGCTCCAGGGCGAAAGAAAGCTAGTGGGCCCCTGTCAAATTCTAATAAACACACGGCCCGGGCAGAAGTGAAGTTGTCATGATGCTCTCACAGACGGGGAATATGTACTTTACCCAAGGTAGTAATAGCGGCCTTTGCAGTCCTCAGCTCTACTAATCAATCGTTGAGCAACAGGATGCCTGCATCCGGATGGAAGTGAGGACTGAAGCTGCTGGCATTCCAACGACTGGACAAGAGTTAATTGACCTTGCTAGTAGGTACCTTATTCAGAGCTCACACCGATGCGCCTGCCTCTACCCGCGGTCGCCAATACGCTGGCACCGAATCATGGGGAGAAGACAGCGGGCGTTCCTGCAATATTGTCCAGGACTGCTGGATCATACAGATCACGCTGGAGATGTTCACAACGTATCGATCACCATCGAATGGCAGGAAGCAATCCGGTGAGAGTGCTCCTGCCCTGCGCGCTAGCGACACCCCCACCCGCCAGAGATTCGAGTCCAGTCTCCAGTCCTCGCAAAAAAGTCCAAACTCTCGCAAGTCATCATGCTCCCCACCATCATCGCCCAGCACAGCGCTTCAACAACTCCAAAAGGCTCACGTCGTGAACAAAGTTTGAACTTATTCGACGCCGCGCAGGTTAGCCGTCCAGTCGAGTTGGCGAGCAGTCAATCAGATACCGTGCGCAGCCCTGTCATGGTGACTTAAGCCCCTCGTTGCCCACAAAGTATGAGAGTTTGGGCCCTGTTTTTATTATCCCCTTCGTCTCTGCCGTCGCTTCGTGATCGTGTCGTTCGATAATTCTCATCCGTGCCGTTTTGCAATTGTTGCCCCTCCAGCACCGATACCGCACTCGGGCATCACCACATACATTATTTGCACTGATCTCAAGTTCTGCGAATTGCGCCTCAACCGCGTCCGTCATTCAACAAAGACCATTTACCTACATCAGCACTTGGCATCCTACTGCAAACCTCGTTGTCATCAGCGACATTTATCACACGACGCAGCCGCGAACGGTGCTCCAACAAGCCTCCAACAATCCAACAGCAACACATCGAAGATCCCCTTGCGTTTTGGCAGCGCCTCTGACTCCGACCACCCCCCCCTTGCCGACCACGCGCTCCACACTTGGCCCAAGTCCCCGCGCGACTCGGCCCAAGGCTGTGCTCACTGCTCTTTTGTGCGGTGGATTGCGTCGTGGCCCAAGCCAGACCCAGCTGTGCGGCGGATCTATGGGAAAAAAAGCTTTCGCCCGTCATCTCAGTTGACTCTTCCCTCTGTCCCATTCTCGTGAACCTCTTTTGTTTCTCTAACCTTCTTCACATCGAATTCCTTTCCACGTCACGGCTGCCACGGTTTATTCCCTTGCGCTTGTTTCGGCGAATTGGCTCAGTGTCCGTTGTTTTTGCCGGCGCACAAAAGTAAGTGCTTCAACTCCAGCCCCTCCCAGACCGATTTTTTTCGACTCGGTCTCCATGTCCCTCCCTCTTGCCCTGGCACCTGTCGACAATCTGGTGGTATCTTCTCCGCGACGCCGACGACATAGCCATCCGACGCAGTATATCGCCGACTTTTGGCTCCATCCCCTCGATGGAATACCCGCAATGACGAAACGACGGACGAACACGGTGGCGGAGTGTGTGACGCGCATGGGCGGAAGTGGGCGGACGTTTCGACATTGGCAAAGACCGCAGGCAGCATGAACGACGAACCCGATTCCGCGATGTATACGATTCTTGGCTCAAGATGCCTGGCACAGCAAGCTGCTCGGCTGCAACTGCTATATTGGGCGCAGCTCTCGAGTCCCTCTCCCTCCTAGCCACGACCTGCGCAGCGGAGCCCGGGGAAGAAATTGGGCGATGAAGGGAGGAATGCGCTTGCGATGGCGTGGACTGTTGACGACGGCGCATCTGATATCCGGTGGTCAATTCGGACGACGAGGACAACTTACTGGGCGACGCGCTGCTGGCAAGGACTTTTCTTCCCGAGGGCGGGCAGGGCCAAGAAATCGACGGAGAATATCACGCGAATGGTACTGAACGAGTACCTCACAGTCGGCGACTCGCGGCAACCCGAACGGAACTGGAGAAGATACCACCGGAGACTGTCTACATTTTTGAGCACGTTTCTTGGCGCTACGGAAAGCTGACTTTCAGGTTGTCGTGATTTAGCAGCGCGAACAACACTTATTTTCGGAGTCTCGGCTTTGGGTTTGGATACTAGTCTTCGCGATCTGTTCCTCTCCCGACTTCGCCTTCAACGTCTGATTTACGGTCTTTCCGGCACGAGGTACGTTGTGCGGAGAACAGAAGCAGTAACGGCACTGCGTGGAGGTTATGCCGGGTTTTGCAATCTATGCTGACGCACGGGCGCAGATCTCACGATTTCCCACGACAAATCCTACATTATCAGCTTTCCGCTTTGAGTTCTTGCTTCAAGGTTTGTGCTCTTTCCGGACTGCATACACGCTGCTTGTGTTGCAAAGGCTGTCGGAAGAAATGTCAACTGACCGAAATAGTCACTCGAAGTCCAATCTTCCCTGCGAAACATTTTCATTGTATCTACGTCAAGGTTAGTCAGAGACCCTTGCGCTATGCGCTTGCTGTGCCTTTTTTCGTTGGTTGGCTATGGTGATGGGGGGAAAGGGAGCGCTGCTACCTCTACCGTGTGTTTTCCGTCATGACCAGACAATTTTGGAACCAACGGCCTCTTCCGAGTGGAATGTTCGAGATTGTTTCGAGAGCTACAAACGGTCGAGAACTTGGATTCATGGCACTACCCTGCAGCGGTAGCTGACGGCTTGCCCTTCAGCCCGCGCTCACTCCCTTGAAGGCCCATCCATCCGCAGGGCAACCACCATTGACGTCGGTCTTTGGAACAAGCGCTGACCAAGTCATCAGGTACAGGCTACACTAGCATTTCAAGCAACGTCAACGAAATATCTTTGGTAAGCACTTGGAATTCGCAACACTTCCCCCAACCCCAACCCCAAGCTCATCGCACTTCACTTCATCGCGTCTGGGATATCCTCCTTTTCTGGCAAGACCCCTTGCGCTGGAGAGCATATTGTGATGCAGAGACGTATGCCTGGGTAACACGCCTGTTGCGCCTCGTCGAGTTGTTGTGCCTTCACGCCACGTGACCCCATGGGCAATCATCAGACGCCTACATGGGGGCCCCTACACCCCAAAAGGGCCTCACGATGATGCTCTCGGTGCTGTCACTCGTTTGTGTGACCAGGTGAGCACACAGAGTGCACATGCTGAGGACCTGAGGGTCAGAACAAGGTCACCACTCGATTATGGGGTGAAATCTACAACACTCCCTCAACCTTTCCCCGTTCTCTTGCCGCTACTGCACTTGGATTACCCAACATCTTCAGTTTTTCTTATTCTTTCTTTGCGCTGGTCCTGAGAGCTTCTGCACGCATTTCATCGATGACCCGTTTCAATATTCAACGCCCAGCGACTTCGAACATGGCTTCTCCTCAAGACAGAAAAGCTAATGAGCTCCAGGCCATGGATCCCTCATTCCCTAGCAACGGCGGTGCCTACTCCAACGGCACGCCCCCTGGTGGCGACCCCAACCAGCCTCCTCCCGGTAACGGCGCTGGCAACGGCCAGGACGTCCCCAAGACCACCCTCTGGATGGGTGAGCTCGAGCCCTGGATGGACGAGAACTTCATCAAGGGCGTCTTCATGTCGCAGCTGTCTGAAAATGTTAATGTCAAGGTCATTCGCGACAAGAATTCTGGGTATGTGGAGTGCCACCCGCTGGGCGGGCTGAACGAACATGTTGCTTACACACTTTAGTAACGCCGGCTACTGCTTTGTCGAATTTGCGACCCCTGATGCTGCGGCTCGTGCCCTGAACTTGAACGGCAGCGCTGTTCCCAACTCTTCCCGCCAATTCAAGCTCAACTGGGCATCTGGTGGTGGTCTCGTCGACCGTCGGTGAGTACTCCTTCCCGAATCACATCTTCCCATCCCGCCTTCCTGCGTAATCAAATTGCTGGTCATTGCCACTGTCTGACACGCTTGTTTTGCATTCGTGTTCGGTACAATCAATCTCTTCCATCACGCTGTCAACCATACACTCTTGCATCATTGCGCATCATCTCTCCGTTGATCACAAACTGACACCATTACCAGCGAGGACCGTGGACCTGAATATTCGATCTTTGTCGGCGATCTTGGCCCCGAGGTCAACGAATACGTACTCGTCTCGCTCTTCCAAGCTCGCTTCCCATCGTGCAAGTCCGCCAAGATCATGACGGACGCCATGTCGGGCCAGTCCCGTGGCTACGGCTTTGTCCGTTTCGCCGACGAGACCGACCAGCAGCGCGCTCTTGTAGAGATGCAAGGTGTGTACTGCGGCAACCGCCCCATGCGCATCTCTACCGCGACTCCCAAGAACCGGTTAGCTCTTTCGTCCAACACTAGGCCGCGTCCCAGACACTGACATTTCCAGCAACAACCACGGCTTCCCCGGTCACGCGCATCACGCTAACCCTATGATGGGCGGTGGTATGCCTCAGCAGCACATGTGGGGTGGCGGCATGGGCGGAGGTTTCCCTGGTGCCTACGGCGGTGCTGGCGGCGGCGGTGCTTTCAACCCTGCCTCGCAGATGAACCAGTTCACCGACCCCAACAACACCACGGTTTTCGTCGGCGGCCTTTCCGGCTACGTCACCGAGGATGAGCTCCGCTCGTTCTTCCAAGGCTTTGGCGAGATCACCTACGTCAAGATTCCTCCTGGCAAGGGCTGCGGCTTCGTTCAGTTCGTCCACCGCCATGCCGCTGAGATGGCGATCAACCAAATGCAGGGTTACCCTATTGGCAACTCGCGCGTCCGTCTCTCCTGGGGTCGTTCTCAGAACAACTCCGGCGTCGGCACCCCTTACCGCCCGGCACCTCCCCCCCCTCACTACCTTGGCATGCCTGGTCCCGGACCCGGGCCTAACGGCCCTGGTGGTCCTGGCGGTCCTCCTGGCGGCCCCCCTGTCGGCCCTGGCGCCTTTGCTGGCGGCCACTTCCCTGGTCCTCAGGGCCCTCCTGGCCCTCAGGTCTAAAGTAAGTTGCTTTCCTCCGACGGATGTGCTCGCATAGAAGTCAATAGGCTAACCTTTCATCCTAGCCTCTACGAGTAAACTTTGGCTTCGTCTTGATTACGCTCTGCTTGTCATGATGATGAATGGCTCGCCCGCCCGATGCGCAATATGGGGCATCATTAGCTTTTTTTGAACTTTTGCCACGACAGCAATATGGGATGACATGACTGCGATTTCTTCCGTCCCAAGAGCGCCATAACGTTTCTGTCACGTTTTTGCACTACCAAACTTGGGATTCGTCACGACACACCTACGACAGGCTTTCCTTGAGTCTAGGTTATGAGTTGCTTTCCTGGCGTTGGAAGATCTAGAACTGGTTTGCGTGCAGTCAATTGAAAATCCGTTACTTTTGCGTTCTGGTTGCCGTTCTGCGTGCGTGTATGCATTTCTGGATTGTCGTGGCGTTCAGTCGGTGCTGCTCATGAACATGTTTGCATCGTGTGTTTGCTTTCGATGACTTGGGCCTGGCTGCCCTTGTCTCGCGTGTTGCAAGCTTGTGATGCTGGTGCCAACCCGTGGATAAAGCGCTTTTCGAAGTAACAGTCTTGCTGACGTACATACTAGGTCTCCGGCGTGAGGTAGACGAGCGTGCTGAGGAGATCTCATTGCCATCCTTATCAAAGACGCCCCATGCGTGGCTCAGGGGCTGCCCTTGAACTGCTCTGAAGGTCATTAAAGTTCAATCCAAAGTTAGCTTTGGGGAGAACTCACACAATATAACCGACGGCTTGAATAAGGATCTGGACAAGGGCTCTCGGGGGGCATTATCGCGAGATCCTGCGGGGACGAGATGGAGTTGTCGAATGTATTTAGCCGTCCACCCAACCCTGGGGCTCCCCGCATGGTACCCCAGATCAGCAAGATGGGGGAACCTTGTATATATATATGGTCCCGCACCTTGACGGTGTCTAGTCTAGTTGATGGCCATATCTAACTGCTCCAAGTTACTTGCGAGGGTTGTCTTCACTCTGAAGATGCGTGCCTCATCCCTCATTCTCCTCGGGGGGCTTGCCCTCGCAGCCGCGAAGAGCTGCACATCCATGGAGGACTGCTCACTCAATGGTATCTGTACATGCCATCATACCTGTCGCTGTGATCCCGGCTGGACGGGCTCCAACTGTGGCAAGCTGGACTTGCAGCCCGTGGAGCGCTGGACGGGGTACAACAATACCAACTTCACCAACCCGGACTTCTATCGTGAAGGAGGCGGCAACTCGTCGTGGGGCGGCCAAATTATTCATGATCGAGAGGACAAGGGACTGTTCCACTTCATTGCAAGCCAGTTCAAGCATGGCTGTGGACTCTCCGCCTGGCGACCATTCAGCCAGGTAATCCGTGCCGAGTCAAGAACGGGTCCCCGAGGGCCTTTTATCTGGAAGCAGACTTTGTTCGATACATTTCGTCACAATCCGACCGTTGTGTGGAGTCCAGCCGACGAGAAGTATCTCATACACTTCATCGGACAGGATTGGGAGACACCTGATGTGTGCCGATCGACAAAGACCAACAACACGATATCCGTCAGCACATCGCCTGACTTGAAAGAATGGACGGAGCAAATACCTCTTGTTGTCAATGTGACAAACCCCACCGCCTGGCCCCTGTGGACTGAAGACGACCATACACCCGAGATGTTGCTCGCCTCTGAGAAGAATAACATTTACTACTCGCCTACCGGCTATGCAGGGCCATACAACCTGACCGTCGAGCCCGGCAATATCGAGATCCATCCTAGCATGCGAAGTGAAGACCCGTTTCTCTGGCGGGACAAGCGTGGTCATTGGCATTTCCTCGTACACCACATGGCCGACATCCCTCTCGGTCTGAAGGGTCCTCGTGTCGGCGCGCATGCTTTTGCACGCGACTGGCGAGGTCCGTGGACGTATGAAAACGAGACTCTTGCCTTTGATGCTTTTGTCGACTTTACTGACGGTGGGCGGACGGAGTACTATCGGCGTGAAAGACCCAAGCTGTATTTTAGCGAGGACGGGGAGATGACGCCGTTGTATTTGGTGAATGGGGTGCAGGAGTTTGGTAATATTTCTGCGTACACGCTTGTTCAGCCTATCGGAGAGGCTTGGAAGGCGTATGAGGATGCGCTCGGCAGGTGAAACTTCTGGTTGAGATTGGCGTTGGATGTGTTTGCTCTGTTGATTTATTGGCAGTCATGATCAGGCATCGCTGTACACTGAACTTGAGCAGTGGCATGGCCTTGCGTGGTTCGTTCGATCCGTGGCACAAGTGCATGTTACAATGTCGGACTACTTTTCTTGAGTAATGGTCAAAGACGCTGGTGGGCCGACAGGGGAGGCGGGAAAGATCTACTCTGCAAACTAGGTTAGCCAGAAACGAAGGTAAGGTAGCTTGTTCAGCCTCGAGAACTTACGACGATGGTAGACCTGTCGATTCATGGCCCCTAAGGGGATGCCCTGTTCCTCAAGCCACCGCTGCTCAAGGGCAGCAGCAGCCTCCTCTTCCTGTTCTCGGCGAAGCTGCCGTCGATTCATATCGACGGTACTTCCAGGCCAGTTCAAGGGGCAAAGGCCAACTCGGCAGAAGACACAGGCAAAGAAGCTCGCGAGGAAAGCGAGGAGAACGGCCAAGAGGAGCCAGAGCCCGGGGGTCATATGGTTGTTCATCGGTATTTCCTGTCGTTGGGATCATTGCTCGGAGAAGACATGGAAAACTTGCTATCCGTTGAGACCTGGGTCAAGAACTGGCCTTGAGCTGGGATACCGTGAAGCACCGCCAGCTACTATCAGTTTCCATGTTGCATGAATGCACTGGTGAGGCAAACCGCTGCTTGACGCGGGCAAACACTCACACGAAAGTGACTGTGCCAGGCAATCACAAACCTTACGCACCACAGAGGAGCTATGTAGGAGAGAAGTTGTGATGTTGGGATGGAAATTCAATCCTGCCAACGAAAGAGGTCAGATCACTCTGCCCTGACAGACTGGGCATCACGTTTGGCCATTGATAATTCACCTCGTCATGACACCACTGGTAGCTGAGATAATTCTCAGCCAATGGGAATTTTGATCAGAAGATAATGCAACCGAAGGTGGACTGTGTTCCCTCATGATTGTCTTGCTGATTGTGAGCTTCTCACGACTATAAGAGCACCGCCTCTCGCCCTTCTTCAACCTCTTCTTGTTTCACTCAAGCCCCAGACGTATCTCTCTCCCGCCCGCCACACCTCACGGCATGAACTTGCGATCAGGAAGTCTTCTCTCAGTATACAGCAGCCGCCCAACGGGCTCACTACCCAGAGAGGCTGGTCGCTGTTTACATGTATTGGTACGTCCTGCAACTCTCTTCTTCTCCATTGCTCTCCTTCCACCACGATAATCAACCGTGCCTCTTGGGTTCTTGTCCTCTCCTCCGGCACTAGTGCTTGAGTGAGTGGGACCTTGCTAGCAAGTCACTAATCCCCCCGGTTTCCAGAAGTCTACCTCAGTCGCCGGTTTTGGGCTGCAATGATGACCATACGTTTTTATCTGAGCCACGAGTTGGCGAAGATTGAAGAAATATCATTGAGTCTGAGCACCAAACTTTCAGTGGAAGTTCCCCAACTTCTTCTTCCCTTTGCCGTTGACTTCCCGCTTCTGTCTTTATGCTATTCATGGTGTTTATGATTGGTTTATTGGGCCTGTTTGCCGTGGTGGTGACTGTGGCGTACATAGTTCGTTGTTGGCTTCGAAAATGTACTTTCGCACAAATAAAATTAGTCTCTGCTCAGAGTGACTGCCTTTCAACTTGCTGATCTTAGGTATTCTGCCTGCGTGCGTCTCCAAGATTCGCTTTCTGCACGGAGCCTGCAAACTCTCCAGGCAGCACCAGTAGCAGCTATGTCCAGCTACAAGAAGAGAGCATCGCTGCCCCGGGCGAGTTGTACAATGTAATGTATTAGAACAACTTCTTGTCTCCGTAATGACCAGGTGAATGACCCTGCCAAGGCTTCCATGCGTTGAACCAATCCGGTCTTACATCCAAACCAAAGGTAGTACTCCGTATGCACGTGGACTTTGTCGACTGCACAGGATCTCAACATACTCACGCCAAGTCCAAAGTGGATACACTGTGACCCGTCGGTGTCTACCGTAACTATTAGTCGCCGACTCCAATCTTTTGGAAATCTCAAAACTCATAAAGCAGCCATTCAAGAGACCCGGTCCCACCCCTGATCTTCAAAGGGAGAAGAACGACGGGATGGCTGTCAGCAGAGCCCAGACTCCAGTCGTCGGCTTATGCCAGCTCCTAAGCACCTGCGCTTGATCATAGAGAGCTCAACCCATGCATGAATCGAGCAATGAATGGTCCGGCATTCAATCGGGAATAAGGTGATATCATTGATATTTGTGGTGCTTCAGCAACCAAGTCGCCCCAAACAGGGGTTGGAGCCCACTGGGACGCTGGCCCCGAAATCATGACTCGCATCGCGTGACTGGGCGTTGTGGCGCTCCTGCCGTCCAAGTCGTCGTACGACGGTGCGAAGGAGATCATCTTCGCCAAACGAAACAAGCTGCAGAGCATGATGAATGACCCTTTTTTTCGCTCACTGTCCATCTTAGCAGTGAGCAGAGAGCAGGTTGCCTGGACAGAACAACAGCACAGCAAACAGGGCAGCCCTTCTCACCGAGGGATCAAATATCGGCCTGTTGCATGTGGTGATGTCGACGCCACATTATTTGCATGTCCAGAGGTCCAGACTCTTGGTGCTGGTTCGCGATGTGAGCCAGAACGGGTGTACGCCACGGCTCCTCATCAGGCCTACTAGCTCGCCGCGGGTCCATCACCTAGCGTCCGCCGGCGCCTCAATTTCGCCATCTTGACATAGTCCTCGACGCAGCATAGAACAGCAATGGGGCACGAGAGAAACCCTAATGCTACGGCGCAAGGGTATTATGCAGTTGCGGATCCGTTGAAAGGCGCTTTGTCGGGCCAATGCCAAGCTGACTAGGCCAGCCGTTGGGCCCTAGCTCGAGGGGGCCGGGGGGGACTAACTACTAAGGGGGACTCAAACAGGCCTCTAAATTAGTCCCAGTATCAAGGCATGTCACTGTTCGGGGCCGCGTACCGAGTGGGGCGAATTGGGTTGCCTCTCGTTGATACTTGCCTCCCAGTAGATTATTATACGTGCTTGAGACAACTTGAAGATGGCTCAACGGGCCAGCGAACCATGGCCAGGTCGACCTCCTCAAAGTGTGAGACTCACAATGCAAGACGCAAGGTGGTTCTTGGTGTTATTGCACCCAGATCTATCCGAGAGGTGGTCCAGAATGGCCTAGAGCATCGACAGTGATCGTCACTCAAAGCGAGGATGAATCATGAGAGTTGCCTCGCACGCTAATAAGGTATAGGGGACATGGAGTCGAAAGAATCGCACGCAGGCGGCAGAGATTTGATCACTAAACTAGTGGCGGCCCGGATTCTTACTAGCCCCAGCCTATTGGGGAACTTGTTGCATGACACCAGACGATTTCAAGTTCCAAGTTCCAACACGCAGACGCCTCGTCCACGCTGGATGCTAGGAAATTCGATATAAAGTGTGCAGCAAGGCCCTGCCAGACTGACACAGTGAGCTGTTCCCTCGTGTGTTCCCTCCCTGCGCCAAAACCTTCGATACATACCACGTGGCACGGCACACGGCAGACAGGATGAGCATCCCTGATCATGGGCCCCTAATGACGAGTGCCATATGGCCTATATGCGGGGTGTCTTTGCTCTTCCTAGCTGCGAGGCTATATGTGCGGTTCTCACGCAACCGAGCGTTCTGGTGGGACGACTGGGTGCTCATCGCATCATGGGTATGGAAGCCTCTCCCACCACCCTGCTGTCGTCGCAAAGATCAGTCTTACTGACCATGGCTTCGTCGCTTAGGTCTGCCTTCTTGGTCAAACCTGGACGGCCCAGGCAGCCATCGGGTATGGCTTCGGCAAACTCCTCGAAGACATTGACCCCCCGAGCAACACCTACCAAATCGCCCTCTATGTACAGGTTGGCGCCACCTTTGTCGCCTTTGCAATCTCGCTGAGCAAGATCTCCTTTGCCATCACGCTCCTGCGACTCACGCTCGGATACTGGCGATACCTGGTGTGGTCCACGATCATTTCCATGGCGCTGCTCAGCCTGCCCGCCGCCATCCTGCCGTGGGTTCAATGCCGTCCGTTCAAGAAGGTATTCGACCCTTCGATTCCGGGAGACTGCTTTGATCCTGCGAAAATCCTGTCCTACGCCATTTTCGTGTCAGCCTGGAATGCACTGATGGATTTCGTGCTGGCCACTCTGCCGTGGACCGTTCTCTGGAAGCTCAACATGAACCGGACTGAGAAGATGGGCGTCGGCGTCTGCATGTCCCTGGGCGTCCTGTAAGCTGCAATCCTGCCGTACCTTATCCTGATTACCATGCTGACCAATGCTCCAAAGGGCCGGTACCGTCGCCATCGTCAAGTCCTGCTACATCAGCCAGATCGCCGAAAAAGACTTCTTCTACAACGGCGTCGAGCTCATTTGCTGGTCCGCGGCCGAGACGGCAGCCGCCATCATCGCCGCCTCGATCCCCGTCCTGCGCGTATTCATCCGTGAAAAGACAAGCTCGGCTGGCTACTCGAACAGCCGCGGCGCAAGACGTGACACTATCCCGCTCTCGCGTGTCGGGGGCAGCCGAGTCGATCCGGTCCAGGATGCGCGCAAGGTCGTCAACGAAGTCTGGGTTACGGCGCACAACAGGAGCGATGGCGAGAGCGACAAGAGCATACTCAGGGGGAATGCTGGTAGTTCCGATAGTGCTCCCGAAGGAACCATCTTGCAGACGAATACCTTTGTGGTAGACACGCAGAGTGACCAGGACAGCTTCCAGGGCAAGAGGGTAAGCAATGGGTCTAAAGATTGACACGGAGTGATGTCGGGTTGAACACGCTTTGCATAGAGTTGGGATAATTGGCTTTAGATCTTGATTTTTGTATTCAGTACACACTGAGCGATATGAATGATGACTTTACTGTATATCTAGGACAGTGAGCCCAAGTCCTCCGCTGGTGAAACACTCCTTGTTGACCTTCGACTTGCTGTGCTGCTTGCAAGTCACACGACGCGAGACGTACAGCATAGCCCGACTGACTGGCCTATGGGGCTCTCGAAGGACAGATGCGAAGCGTAACGCAGGGGCCTTGACCTGATAGTCGTAGCCACTAATCCGCCACGTGAGCGCGCGATCGTCATCGATCTTCTCAGCATCTAATCACATCAACCCTAAAGGTGTTGCGGACCAAGGGGTAGCCAATATACCACTGGGCCAAAAGTGAATATCCACACAGGCTGTACAGTGTGAATGGCTTATAACCCCTAAGACCCGGCCTACAACCGTCTCTCTGCCCCGTGACAAAAGGGGATGGCAGCTGTATGCAGTGTCGAGGCGCTCGGAAGTGAGCGGCAAGGCTTGACCAGCCTTTTTAGGCAAGCGTCAATTCGTATGCGATCGAGCTAGCATTCAAGTCACCTCCCTGACTTCGGAAGGCATCCGCGACTGCAGCTCCTGATTCGATCGCTCATGCTCGTCCCGGTACGCATTCAATAGATGCCTCCTCATGACCTTTTGCGGTGCACGTCTGCCCGTAAATAATTCAAACTGCGCAAAGCCCTGCTCCGGAAGAAGGTCCAGGCCTGTCATTGCGACCCAGCCCCTGGATGCCTGGCGTCTCGCCTGAGCCAGCAGTGGTGTGTTGAGAGTCTTGTACCCCAGCTCGATGATCACGCCTCCAGTGCGACTCTCCAGCCACCCGTCCGGGACGGTGAAATCCGGCGAGGGCGCTTCGCCGATGCGATGCGTGGGGATGCACGAGATGATGATGGTAGGTAAGTGGTAGGATGAGGGGAGAGGATCATGCAGATCCTCAATAACGTGGAAACGTGTGTCGGACCCAGCGCCGAGGGAATGAAAGTCCGGGTTCTGCAACAGCTGCTTGAAGTGGGACGCAAGCTTCTCTGCGCGCGAGAGCGTCCTGTTGTAAATAAGGATGTTCTGTACCCCGACTTGAAGCATGGCGTAGACGGCTGCTCGTGCCATACCGCCAGCGCCCACAATGACACCGCACGCACCTGGTCTGACAGCATTGGCTGGGGATAGTCCTTTGCGGATGCAGGCTCGGATGCCAATCCAATCCGTATTCTCCCCATACAAGGCTTTCACTGGGCCAGCTCTCCCCATCGCCTTGAAAAATTCTGCACCCTGTGGCAGCGAGCCATCGGGATTAAGATGGCGAACCGGGATGAGGGTGTTGACCGCACCGATAGCACGCGCATGTCGACTCAGCGAGTGGATAAGAGTGATGACCTCGACCTTGAACGGTAGGCCAATGGATGCACCGCCAAAGTAGGGGTCCTCGATCAAGTGTTTGATCGCACTCAGCGACTCTGTAGAGTGCGGCGTGTAGTGGTGTGGGAGTCCACAGGCGTTGAAAGCGGAGTTGTGCATCGTCGGTGACATGCTGTAGCCGACTTTGACACCAAAGACATACATTCTCATCCTGTCGTAGGCGTAGGCGGCCGCAAGGGCTTGAACCGCGGCGTAACTTGTGAGAAGCAAGGAGGAAGAAGGCGAAAACTCTTCTTCTGCTCTCATTGCTACCGTCGATAGAATGGGGTTCAAAATGACCGAGTGTCTCCCTGCTTCGCCTGTGTTGTACGCGATCAGGGGTATTTGCCGGCATTGTAAGGATTGCACTGATCCTCTGAAATGACCGACCGCGATGTTGTCGTCAAAGGTCCCAGCGGGCCGTCGTAGCCTCACCATATCGCAACCTAAGCGACTTGCTTTCTGATAGAGTGTGGTCCACGTGGAGGACGTCCACGGCTGCGGGTCGCGCGTGACCAAGCAGTCGCCAATCGTTCTCGCTCGTCCCTTGCTGGCGATGAGATGGGCGATATCTGCATCCTTCAGCATCAAGTTGATGGTCACAAGTTCGGGTGCAAGCCGCATTGTGTGGAGGACAAGCTGGAGATAGAACTGAGAGATCTCTTCGGTAGGAGTCTCTGGCAGCTTGACGTCGATGGCCAAAGGCACGACCGTGCTCCGCCGAGTCAACCCGATTCCGCATGTAATCGCATTGGCAAGGCTCAAGAAGTCATCGGACCCGAAAGAATCAGCTTTGGCGCACAAGTCATCAACAACAATCTGCACAACGTCGGCGCCTTCGACATGGTCCTCGATCTGGAATCCGGTTTCGAGCGTCCTGGAGAGAGGCAGCGCCACAGCGTATGTGAATTGGAGTTCTTCAAAAGGCACGCCGGCCAACGGAAACGCCGAGTCCATGAAAGGCAGCGCACCCTGTGGGTAGATGAGACTCAAGAATCTGAGCAGATGCCTTTCAGCATGCTTAAGAGTGAGATAGGGTGCGGGGACCGGATCGAAGAGGGTGTCCGAAGACAAAGAGTCAAGGACATCTGGTTGCCTTTCGGTGACGTTGTAAAACTCGAAGTTGGTACAGGTCCCGAATATTGCGCGGCTAACCTTGAGCAGATTATCCATCTTCTCGCGGTCCTGGATGCGCAAATGCTCCTGGATTGCATCTCCGTCCCGTACGACGTGGACAACAGGATGTGTGGCCGCAAACTCGCGGAATAGTGCCTGCACTCGGCTCTCCATCCATGAGCAGACAATCACGCACCCAGTCTTGTTGCGCTCGAGAACATTTTGCAAGACCTTGGCCTGCTGACGGTGGCACTCCGTGGACCCGTGAAGCTTCTTGTAGACCGCACTGGATGCGCCCCGCGTTCGCTGGAACACATTTTCGAGGTCGATGACTCTGCGCTTCAGGGCTGATGATGCCATGATGGCCAAAGTGGATTTACCAGCGCCACGGATCCCTACGAGAACGAGAGACGCATCTGCGTTGAAGTCGGGTATTTCGCCGCTCAGAGGAGGAAACGTGGGGGACGGTGTCCTTGTCGTCATGTCGATCGCCTCGTCCGCAGCCATAGTCGGGTGAAGTGGCATCTTGGACATGCCCTTTGGTTGCTGCTTGTCGCGTGCGTCGTGCGGGTCGTAGTGTCGGTCGTAGTGTCGGTGGTCGAGTGTCTGGTGATCAGTACCGAGCACGGCCTCGAGGGGCCTCTTGACGCCTGTCATGATGGACATTTGGTACTGACTAGTCCGAGTCGATGCCCATAATTCGTCACTGACGATGGACGGTCGAGACGGGACAAACGAGACGGCGGAGTCTGGAAGGAGTCAAGGAGTGTCGGAGTGCCCGGTTATCGAACCCCGCATAAGACGGATTGGCTTGATTGTCGGTCCATGACTTTCGAGATCCCTGTGGGAAGAGGGACATGACTTGGTGAGGCGTAGAGGGCGCGTCGTGTGCGACGGGTAAGTCCTCAGCCGGGGTGACAGTATTCTGGCAGGGCGCGAGACACCCCGTGCTGTCCAGCTTTTAATGTCGACCTTGAGCCCCACCGTGCCCCAGCTTGCGCTAGACCCTGGACTCGACGATGACCATGGTCTCCCCGCAAGATGATAGAACTTCTCTTGATGATCTTTGAGATGGTCCGAATTCGCGCTTCAATCTGCGTTCAACGTCGTCAATCTCTAGCTGACCAGACCTGACGAAGCCCAACACGAACATTGTCCTCGCGAAACCACCACGCCCTCTGACCAGCGACGGCTCACCACTCGCCGAACGTACCACTCGAGCTCATGACCTCTCGGTAGCATGCCGCAGAAGAAACGCGGCGGCGGGGGCAGCACGGAAGATGGAGAGAGAAGCGAACAGGCCGACGCTGCAGCTCCAAAGCGACAGCGAGTCTCTCTAGCGTGCGACTCCTGCAGGGTGGCTCGCGAACGGTGCGATGGTGAACGACCTCAGTGTGGAACATGTGTCTCCCAAAAGAGAGCCTGCTCGTATACGCCCACGGCAAAGAAACGCGGAGTACAAACTGGCTACCTGAGGACCATTGAGATGTCGCTGGCCTGGATTCTCTACGAGGAAGCGCCCACGACCGAGGAGGCGCTCCTCCGCCTGTTGCAAGACAAGAATGGCCCACTACATAAAAAGGGCAAGGCTGCCGATAAGTTGCACAAGAAATGGACAAAGAGTAGGGTCAACAAGCAGATTGGTCTGCTTCTGTCTGGGTCTGCAACACGACCAAACCGGGACGATAGTTCGGACAACGAGTCGGACACTGAGGGGAATGGCGAAGGCATGTCGTCAAACTTTGATGTACAAGACCAATTGAACAACTCAGTGTCACCGTTTCTGCAACGAGAAAGAACCGAAATACCACGAGCCTCCTTGCTTAAACTCCCGAGGAATTGGCGCCGACTGTTCGACATATACTTCACATACACTCATTGCTGGTTCCCCATCCTCAACCGAGATAGGATTCTGGAGACAGCCCTTGCTTACCCACCTGAAGGGATCCCTGGACCTTCTTCTGTCATGGATGTCGCCCCAAGCTACGCCGAACTTTGGGCTGTGTTGTCTCTCGCCTCTTTCCAGGACACAACCTCAAGCAACCCAATGCAAGGCTTCATGTCACCCAAACAGATCTACGCGACTGCAAGGGGACTCATACCATCCGAGGAAAGGCAATTCGAACTTCCTCATCTACGTGCGTTGTTGCTGCACTCGCTGGTCCTCATCGGCCAAGGCGCAGACCTGGCGGCCTGGATGCTTGTGGGAACAGCAACTCGACTCGCAATGTTCTTGCGGGGGACGGGGGCGTTGTACTCGGATGGCCTCGGCATCAACGAGACGACGGAGCGATCAGGACGCATCGCCCTGGCAGCTTGCTTTGTACTCGACACGATCGCCGCCACGGGTCTGGGCCAGCCAGCGTCGACACACGTTGGTCCTGCCAATGTCGACGCAGAAGGATTGGCAACGCCAGCGGCGGACGAGAGCTGGACTCCCCTTGCTGGATTTGGGCCGACACATCCCGAGCACAGTCAACCTGGGCCACATGTCCAGCCATTGAGGACCTTTCAGCAACTTTTGCGGTTCTGCCAGGTGCTCAGACGCGGGCTCGACCCGACCAGTCTCCAGAGTCGCCAGACAACGAACGCTGCCCAGAGCATGGCGGAGGTTCTTGACCCAGTATACTCATTCTGCAACTCTGTCATCTTTGGTGCTTCCACTCCACCAGTTCCCTCGGCATTTCTGCTGCAGATAGCCTTCTTGGCGATGACGACGCGACTGTTCCAAAGCTTCCGCGGATCGCTGCTATCAAGCTTGACCGAGGCCGTCGAGGGCTGCATATCTTCATTCGGATCGTGTGGCACACCGCCCTTGGTCGTGGGTCTCATGGGCGTCGTGCAACGATGCGCGCACCTGGGAAAGATGCACGAGGCAGAGCGAACCAAATGGCACACTACGCTGGAGTCCTTGAAGGCTGTATGGAGGAACGATGACTTGCCGCCATCGGGTCTGCCACCAGCGAGTGACTTTGAAGTTGAGTACAGTGATGCTGGGCACATGGCCACGTCAAGACAATTACCCACGCGCCTCAACGATCACCAGACACACATGCCCGGATATTCATTCTCTCAACAACCAAACATGGGGCCAGATTCACACGGTTTCCAAGTGGTACACCCAATCGAGAGCCCAAGCACGGTACAGAGTCAAGCAATCACCAGTCCGAGTGGCCCTTATCCGTCCTCCGCATCAATGCGAGGCGCTGGAGTGCCCGCAGGGATGTTCAGCGGAGTAACGGGCGTCGACATCCATACGCAAGGGGTGGATTACGACGCGATACTGGAAGAACTCGGTTCCATTGACTGCACAGATGGGCTGGACATGGATCCTCAATTCATGACAAACCTCGGCTTTGCCCCAGGTTGCGATCTGGGCGATATGCTGCAGGGTGAATTTGGGGGATAAGGAAGGCCAGCCAGCCAACCACGCATCCGGCAATTCAATCAAGCACCTCCTCAAGGAAAGGCCCCTTCCTGGTCAAACTACCGGCAGACGTAATATCCTCCGGCACCCAGCATCCGTTGCCCGCTAACCCATGGGGGACTGACTCGTCGATCTGGGGTTGGGGTGGAAGGGATAAACCCTTAACCACCTCCTCCACAGCGGATGGAGCGAGCCGCACCCACCATGTTGCTCTCTTCGAATGCCTCATCAAAGGCAAAATTCTTCAATGCCATCCCCAGGAGAGCATCCCCGCAACCCCGGAAACGTGGATAAGCTCTGGCGCTGAGACGGACGGGGACTGACCCCAGCTTATTCGACAATAACATTACCAGCCTTGGCCTTTCCAGCAGAGGCTATATAGTCTGCTGCCTCTAAGCGTCAACGCAGTGTTCCTCATCCTCTTCTCAAGGACACACCAGCATCCTGACTCTCAACCACCGCGGTCCACCATGTCGATCCTCACTCTCAAGGAGGACAGGCCTACGCCCAAGGCCGTGTACAACTGGCGCGTCTACGTCTGCGCCGCCGTCGCCTCATTCGCGGCCTGCGTCATCGGCTATGACTCTGCCTTTATCGGCACGACACTCGCCCTGCCCTCCTTCACCGAGGAGTTCAAATTCGCCGACTACTCACAGGATGGCCTTGCGCTACTGAAGCAGAACATTGTCTCCGTCTACCAGGCGGGCGCCTTCTTTGGCAGCTTGGCTGCCTATGCCACCAGTCACTTCTGGGGCCGCAAACTGTCTCTCGTCGGGTTCACTGTCATCTTCGTCATCGGCGCCGGCATCATGTTGGGCGCGAATGGCGACCGTGGTCTCGGCCTCATCATTGGTGGACGCGTCCTCGCCGGTTTCGGCATCGGTGGCTGCTCCAACATGACGCCCATCTACATTTCCGAGCTGGCTCCCCCCGCCGTGCGCGGTAGGCTCGTCGGTTTGTACGAGTTGGGCTGGCAGATTGGTGGTCTTGTCGGCTTCTGGATCAACTATGGCGTCGACAGCACCATGGAGCCCAGCCGCACGCAGTGGCTCATTCCCTTTGGTGTCCAGCTGATTCCTGCCGGCTTCCTGCTCATTGGCGTCTTCTTCATCCCCGAGTCACCTCGCTGGCTCTTCTCCAAGGGCCGCCGCGACAAGGCCACTGAGGTGCTGTGCTGGATGAGGAACCTCGAGCCCACCGACATCTACATTATCGAGGAAATCAGCTTCATTGACGCCGATCTTGAAAAGTTCCGCCGTGAAGTGGGCGCCGGCTTCTGGAAGCCGTTTGTCTCGCTCAAGGACAGGAAGATCCAGCAGCGCTTCCTCATCGGTGCCCTTTTGTTCGTCTTCCAGAACGGATCAGGCATCAACGCCATCAACTACTACAGCCCCACGGTATTCAAGAGCATTGGCATCACGGGCACAAACACGGGCTTCCTCACCACCGGCATCTTCGGCTTCGTCAAGACTGTCCTCACATTTGTCTGGCTCCTCGTCCTCATCGATCACATGGGCCGTCGTCTCCTGCTCATGGTGGGCGCCATTGGCGGCTCGCTCTGCATGTGGTTCATTGGTGCCTACATCAAGATCGCCGGCGCGGACAACAAGGCTGCCGACCCCAATGCCGACACCTCACTGTCCAGCGGGGGCATCGCGGCCATCTTCATGTTCTATCTCTGGACGTCCTTTTACACGCCGTCCTGGAACGGTACCCCATGGGTTCTCAACTCGGAGATGTTTGACCAAAACACGCGCTCCCTCGGCCAGGCCAACGCCGCCGCCAACAACTGGTTCTGGAACTTCATCATTGCCCGCTTCACGGTCAACATGTTCAATGCCTGGGGCTACGGCGTGTACTTCTTCTTTGCCTCCATGATGATCATCTCCATCTTCTTTGTCTTCTTCTTTGTGCCCGAGACCAAGGGTATTCCCCTCGAGGCCATGGACCGTCTCTTCGACGTCAAGCCCCGCTGGAACGCGAACAAGGTTCTCATGGACGAGCTGCACAGGGACAATGGGGTTGATGATGGCCAGGACGATGGAAAGTTGAAGCAGGATCACTTTGAAGGAAACGAAAAGCAGGTTTAGATTGCAGTCTCGTAGACCGCTCGCTACAGAATACATTGCTGTTCTGCGCAGCTTTTCAACACGCTTTCAACACGCTTTCAACACGCTTTCTCAGTGTCTTCATGTTTAGAGTCCTCAGCTTAGTCTACGACAGTCATAAATTGGATCTTTGACATTGCATTTGACTTAGGAACCCGTTAAGAGTGATCATGCCATATAAGTCTCATCATTTCTGCCTTTACGGCCGAGTTCAAAGCTTGGCTCAACAAGTTGATGATGTTGGCGGACACGCAAGCAGGGTCACCAGAAGAAAGATCCGTTCCGAGTATAATGTCATATATTGTCTCTCGTATGTTTCATTTAGAGCTTCATTTCTCATCACAGTTTCGCCATCCTGGCCGCGACCTTATCCGCAATAGCAGCCTTGACGTCCTCGACAGGCAAGTCACTCAGTTCCCGCCCTGTCCAATACCTATCCTGCTCAAGACCCTGCCATATCAATGCCTCTGTGCCCAAAATCACCTGCCACCCCATGCCCTCAGCCAGCTTGCCCAGTTCTGTAAACGGCGTCGGGTTGTAGCACATTTCCAGCATGGCGCCCTTGGCGGACGCGTACTTGGAGAGGAAGATGGTCGTGATGGAGCGCGCAAGGATTTCCTCCGGTGTGGTCGGCGGGAAGTCTGGCACGCAGGCGACGATGGCGCCTGGGTTTGGTAGTTCCCTCGCCTGGGCTTCTGTCGACACGTGGACCAGGCCTTGGCCGTATCCTCGCGCCTTGCAGTCTCTGATCACAGCCTCCACCTCGCTCGCTTCTCGGTTGACGAGGTAAATGTCTGTGACCTGGAGGAACTTGCGCAGCGCATACACTGCGCTCCTCGCGGCACCGCCTCCCCCGATGACGAGGGCAGGTTTGTTGTGGTAGACCTGCTCGGGTTGGGGCACGTTGTAGATGAAGCTGTTCTTGATGCCGAGGACGTCAGTGTTGGCGCCGCAGAGAAGGCGACGGGACGGATCCGAGGGATGCGGACGGGTGAAGAGGGTGTTGCAGGCGCCGACGTCGCGGCACTCTTGTGTGAGGATGTGGAGATGGGGCACAATGGCGACTTTGTTGGGCATGGTGACGGATGCGCCTAGATATCAGATCAGCCATGATTCTTTTGTGCCATATCCATTATACGAACCATAAAAGTTGGGGTGTTGGATCAGTTTCAGGAACAGATCCATGTCTGCAGAGTCTAACCGCACCTGGCCCCAGTTGAGACCAAGATGACTGTATATCACATCGTGTAGGAATGGCGACCATGAGTTTGTGAGCTTCTGGCCAAAGAGGAAGCCATGCTTCTCCAGAGGCGCAACCTCATCGACCAAGGCTGGTGGCAGCGCAGCTGAAGAGGAGGTGATGGGCACCCCCTCGGGAGATGTAGAGTTCTGTAGTGATGTCTGCATGGTTGTCATAATGCGAGTCTTGACTCAGTGTTCATGATATCTTGGATCAACAAATGAAAGGCTGGCGGTTGGGCTGCCTCATGTATGTGCGGTTGAGTGGACGGTGCTGCATGCCTTAGCTAGCGACTCGCGCGCTCAAATCGGGAATATCCCGGTCCAGGATGTCCGACTTCATCCACTCAAATGATAGGCAAAGTCTTCTTCAGGATAAACGAAGAAGAAGAAGCTGTCGGGGTGGAAATGAAACCCTGGCGATCCACCTGCATGCATTCACGCTCCACACCGCCGACCACGCCGGGTAAGCATTTACCAGGACAGCATGACGACGCCTGAGAACGGCCAGCTCCATCCACCTGACGTCCAACAGCGTCTCTGCATCTGCAGAGCACTTCCCACAATCAAAGACAGGGTGATCAAGGGTGGGGGACAGCTGTATATATCCTCATCCAGAGCCCGCGTGTAAAGACATAGCCACCCAAACCCGACACCAACCGTCTCCAGCCGTCTCGATCTGACACCCTCATGTATGCAAGCGAGAGGCCAGATGATGTCGATAGGTTATCATGGATCAATGCTTGACATTCGATGGAGCCTGTGGTGTTATCTTTGTCTGGCCCTCGTTGGGCGTCATCATGTTCTGGACAAGTGCCAGTCTTATATACAGCTTCAAGCCACTAGCGCTTCACAATGTACATCAACCTCCTGTGTAAACCAGCTTTATTCCCATATACCGGTGACTCGTTTACTCTATTCATTGAGATACATCCTCGTTTGTTCTACACTACTGCCATCACTACCCACACCACCATGGCGCACAAACCAGCCATCTGTACCATGTCCTTGGGCCGGTCCTTTGCTGGCCACTCACTCCCCTACAAACTCGCACAAGCCAAGAAACATGGCTTCCAGGGGATCGAAGTCTTCTACGAAGATCTCATCGACCTCACAGCCTCGATGCCTGGCGGCGAAACCCTTATCGACAACCAGCTTGCCGCCGCGAGGTTGTTCAGAAACCTCTGCGAAGAGAGGGGCCTTGAGATTATGTGTCTCCAGCCCTTTATGCATTTTGGAGGCCTGATCGACCGCGAGAAGCAAGAGGCACAGATCCAAGATATCAACCGGTGGATTCAGTTAGCCCATTCCCTCGGTACGGATCTCATTTGTTTCCCCAGCTCGTTTCTTCCAGCCTCCCAAATCACAGCCGACATTGACACCATTGTCAACGATCTTCAAAGAGCGGCCGACTTGGGCCTCGCCGCCTCGCCGCCTGTTCGGTTCGCCTACGAGGCTCTATGCTGGGGCACGCGCATCTCCACGTGGGAAGACTCCTGGGATCTCGTCCAGCGAGTGGACAGGGAGAACTTTGGCATATGCTTCGACACATTCAACATTGCCGGGCGCATCTTTGCAGACCCTGCCGTGCGAGGTGGCAAGTGTGAAGACGCCGAAGAGGCCACCCTTCAGTCTTTGAAGAGACTGGTGAAGAATGTCGATGTCAAGAAGGTGTTCCTACTGCAGGTCGCAGATGCAGAACGCTTGCACGAACCATTGGACCAACACCACGCTTTTTACAACTCGGAGCAGCCCGCTCGGATGAGCTGGTCAAGGAATTGCCGTTTGTTCTACGGCGAATCGTCACACGGGGCCTATCTACCTGTCAAGGCAGTGCTTACTGCGGTCGTCAGGGGGCTAGGTTTCCAAGGTTGGCTGAGCTTCGAGGTATTCAACCGACGGCTGACGGACCGCGATACGAGTGTGCCCGAGGAGATGGCCAAGAGGGCCAGTGTAGCGTGGGAGAAGATGGTTAGAGAGGTGCCCTTGGACGTGAGGCCGAACACCACCAAACAGGCAACACCTACGCCAGTACAACACCGGTTATCAGCCATGTTGTGAGGAGACTCTTGGGTTTTGGACTTGTTTATGTACATATCATCATAGCCTAGCCTTAATTTTGAGATGCTTTACCACAAATTCCAGCGCCGCCGTGTATCCGTACACCCCCATCCCACAGATCACCGCCGCCGCCTTGTCGCACAAATAGCTGTGTCTGCGAAACTCTTCCCTCGCGTGGACGTTGGAAACGTGCAACTCGACAAAGGGAATTTCCACGCCTAGCAGAGCATCCCGGATCGCCACGCTAGTGTGTGTGTAGGCGCCTGCGTTGATGATGATGGCGTCGACGTCGCCGCGCGCCGCCTGGATGCGATCGACAATGGCGCCCTCGTGGTTTGACTGAAAGGTTGATAGTTTGGCGGAGAGGGCAGTGGCCTGCTCTTGGGCGGCGGACTCGACGTCGGCGAGGGTCGTTGAGCCGTAGGTGGCGGGCTCACGGGTGCCGAGGAGGTTGAGGTTGGGGCCGTTTATGAGGAGGATGTGGCGGGACATGATGACGCTTCTTCTTTTCTTTGTGAGATAGATTCAAGAAAGCTTGAAACCATTGAGGTTCTGTCTGCGATATATCAATCCGTGACTTACACTTCACTCGCAGGTGAGCTGTGCCAGGGCACTAACACCACATCGCGGAGGGGCCCACACCAACAGCCTCCGCGTCCAAAGTGGTAAAGCATTCATCCCACTCCCATATCTCCTCCTCCTCACTCATCAATCGCTGTGGAGAATCCCACTATCTCCATACCCATGTCCGTCATCGTCACAGAACCCAGCGACAACGGAGCCTTGCGCCACGGCTGGCCTCGCTTACCATCGCCATTCTGCGTGGGGTGATCTGCTTGACTGTCAACTCAACCTAGGATTCGAGCTTCACTCAATCACACTCTGTCCATACTGCGTCGCTGCCCTCACCATGACAGAAATATCACAGCAACAGCTCGATGAGATCTATGCCTTTGCGGTACAGCTAGGCAAAGATGCAGGCCAGATGCTCATGGACGCAGCTCGGCGTCGGATGCAAGGCAACGGCGCCACGACCAGCGTAGACTACGTCGAGAAAGAGAACTCGGTCGACCTCGTGACCAAGACAGACAACGGTGCGTCCTCCTCGCATCGTGCTCCCACCATTCCATGTCACTCACAGTCCCAGACGTCGAGGCCTTTATCCACAACGCCGTCTCGAAGAAATACCCAGACCACAAGTTCATCGGCGAGGAGACCTACTCGGCTGGTGCCTCGCGCGACTACCTCGTCGACGCGGCTCCGACATGGATCGTCGATCCACTCGATGGCACCGTCAACTTCACCCATCTCTTCCCCATGTTCTGCGTGTCCATCGCCTTTGCCATTGACGGTGTCCCCGTCATCGGGGTGATCAACGCACCGTTTCTGCACCAGACCTTTTCGTCCTGTCGTGGCAAGGGCGCTTGGCTCAACGAGACGCAGCGATTACCGCTGATCCAGAATCCGGTCCCTGCTCTGCCGGCCAATGCGCCCAGTGGGTGTACGTTTGCCTGCGAGTGGGGCAAGGACAGGAGAGACACGCCCGAGGGGAACATGGTGCGCAAGATCGACTCGTTCATGAACATGGCAGCGGAGAGGAAGGGCAGAGGCGGCAAGGGCGGGATGGTGCACGGCGTACGCAGCCTTGGCAGGTAAGTGCGTCGAATACGATACTGTGGGCAGTCAACTGACGAGCAGTGCGACGATGGATCTGGCATACACAGCAATGGGGTCGATAGACATCTGGTGGGAAGGCGGATGCTGGGAATGGTATGTTAGCTCCCGAACCTTTGAAGTTGAAGTATACTAACGGGGTCAGGGATGTTGCGGCTGGCATTGCTATTCTCGAGGAGGCCGGAGGCTTGATCACAACAGCGAACCCGCCAGCCGATTTCGAGACAGCCGACATCCCGCCAGTCAAGCTGGGGAGCAGGCTATATCTAGCCATACGGTAAGACGCGATTGGACTTGCACCTAGTCAAGACACTGACCAGTCGCAGGCCTGCTGGCGACACCCCGGACGAGACTGCCCGACAATCACAGGGCAGAGTTGTGCGAGAAGTCTGGAAGCGAGTACAAGAGTTGAGCTACAGCCGACCTGGCGCATGAGCGATAATGAAATGCTGCTCCACACACACGGGTCCATGTCTCCGACCCAGTTCATAACTGATCCAGCTCTTCCATGCGAGTGATGAACTGCTCCTGTAACCGTTGCAGGTACCCTGGCAGCACGGCCGGGTCTGCCGCCTCCTTGGCTTGCTTGAGTGCCTCATGTAGATTCAGGATCAACCTGCGACGTGCCATAAGCTTGCGTGACTCGGAGCCTTGCTGATTCGCCGCTCGCTTTGTCCGCAAGTAATTTGCCACCTCTTCAGCCTTGTCAGTGAATGACTTTGGAAGGCCTATGGCCCGCGCCAGATTGATGCCGTAGTGAACCTCGTCGTCCATGTATCCGGAATCAACCTTATACAGCATGGTGATCTGAGGCAGTCCATCTGCGGTGACCGTATTGCGCGCCAACAGATGGAGGTTGAGAACGCCTGGGCGGTCCGCAAGCGCACGCGCCAGCTCGATAAAGTGCGTTGCAAACCAGACGGACGCCTTGCTCTGAATCAGAGCCTCGGACATGGCTATGGCAATAGCCAGTCCATCACGACTACTCGTCCCCCGACCGAGCTCGTCTATAATGGCAAGACTGCGGTCATTGATGTTGCGCAGGATGAAAACCATCTCCTGCATTTCAACGGAGAAAGTTGACAGGTTTGACTCGATGCTGTCGTCCATAGATACTCGGGCGAACATTTGGTGGATGATGGAGAAAGCGGCGTATTCAGCTGGGACGAATGACCCTATCTGAGCCATGATCTGAAGCAACGCGATGCTGCGGATGTAGGTGCTCTTGCCGCTCATGTTGCTGCCAGTGACAATATGAAAGCAGTATTGCTCGGTCGAGTAGTAGTCGTTGGGGATGAACTCGGCGCCGGGTTTCTGTCATCGTTAGTGTTATCCTGAAAGCACAGGCTTGAGGCGCACTTTACCTTTTCACGGATGGGATGTCTCGCCGCTTTGAGGGCCAGAGTACCAGCAATCTCTGGCTTGACATAGTCTCGCGTTGTTGCTAGCTGACCAAAGGCAGAAATCATATCTACCATGGCGACTGATTCGCACACCCGGAAGAACTGAGGCGCTGCCAAGCGGATGTCTGCGATCAGCTCGTCGATGACGGCGTCACTCCGAATGACAACCTCGTTAGACGTATCGGACAGTCTGAGGTTTAGCTTGATGAGATCCAGTGTCTGGCACTCGATCTTGTCCCGTTTGCGCACAACATTGACAAAGCAGTCTGGCAGCCGGCCACCGTCAAAATCGGATGCTTTGATCCGAAGCCAGTATTTTCGGCCGTTGTCGAACTTCAACGCTGCCGTTGATTTGAATCTCTCATTCACCTCGTCCACGTGCTTGTGGATCTCCTCTGTCAACTCCTTGTACATCTGTCGCGCAACGTCCAACATGCCACTGATGCCAGCTTTGACGGCAAATGTTCTCTGGTTCCTCAGGTCTAGAGGGGACCTCGTGTACGTTACATCGGCTTCGATGACCTGTCGAATGCGGTCAAGAGTTCCACCGGTGATTTCAGGGTGACATATGTCGCGCGCCTTGGTCAGCAATGGGCTTCTGGCTGGCACAAGAGCTTGATATAATTCAGGAATGGCTTCGAGAAAGCTCTTCATCATCAACACCTGATTGATCTGCTCCTCAACGTGCCGAACATCGCTGTTTTTGTTGACGATGATCAACTGGTGGAATCAGCACGAGCATAAATCGAACAGATGGAGGGCTCACTTTGGTCAACAGCTTTTCAACATCGCTGAATGCCTTCAGTGCTAAGATGGTCAGTCCTTGTTCTTGATTGTGGATGATGCACTTACCTCTCCGGATATCCTGGAACAATTCTTCGTTCGTTGTAAGCTCCTCTAAAGCGTCGTGCCGAGGCCTCACAAAGGCCTCGACATGTGTTGGGGGTTGCAGAATGTTCCGTCGAAGCATTCGGGTTCCCATGGGCGTGGTAGTTTGATTCAGGAGCCCGAAAAGGGAGTCCTTCGATTTGGGATCCCGGGAGTTCTGCATTATCTCCAGAGACTGAAACGCAGAAATGTCAATCATCATGGTTCCGTCCGAGGGCTGGTAGCTGATTCGAAGTGAATGGGGCACAAACGTGATTGCAAAGTGGTGCTCGATGTACTTCATCGCCTGTCGCCGTCGTTAGCCGTGGAAGATGCAATGCCCACAGCTTGAGTGGCTTACCGCATAAAACGACGAGGTAGCATAGTATTTCCCTTGGAGTGCCACCGTCAAGGGACTGACATCGGTCTCGAATGCAAGGTTCCGGATCAAGTCCAGACCTGAGGATTCAGACCAGGCCGCCCTGTCATAGACATCGATGCTTGCCTCGGGAATCAGGTTGTTCACCAGGCCGTATAGCGTGCTTGGTCGACTGGGTGGACATGCCGTGGACATGAATATAATCCTAGTCGGCTTGTTCATCTGAATTTCGTGGATGCTTTTGACATAGGACTGGTTATCGCAGATTTGACTCATTGTGACTTTGCTGAGCGTAACATTTACAAAGGCAACGCCCACGGACGGTGTCACGCCGCGCGCCTCGCTGACGGCACATATGACGGTCTCTCTCTCGCTCTGCCCGAGGATGGTGGACGCGCTGGCGCGAGACTTGCGTCCAGACGCGGTCGTTGCACGCGTCGGAGGCCTGGTGGTCGACGGGCGCGAAGCACCGGGGCTGGAGGATACTGTTGAGTGAGCATATTCGCTGAAGTTAGCTACGTCAAAGAGCAGCGGGCGAACACTGCTTGAAGAGCGATTTCGGAAGTTTGACGCGCCTGTGAAATGGGTGGGTGACTGAGAAAGAAGCTCGTCGGGGAGAGGTGAGCGGTTGACAAAAGCCGATCCCTGCGCCAATCTGGGCTTGCTGGAACGTTGCCGTTGTCGTTGTCGAGACATGATTGCGGGCAGTCAACGCAAAATTGCGATGCAGGACAGTCAAGTATCACGTCTGGATGTTCAAGGAGACAGAGGAAGTGAAAAATACTTCAATTCGATTTTGGAAGGCCTTGAGTCTATGGACTGTGCGTGTCTTTGTTTGCGAAGGAAGGAGCGTAGGGTATGCTGCAACAAGGGAAGAGCAACGAAGCCGCTGGCGATGTTGGAGCCTGGAGGCTCCTGCCCGAATGGCAAGTGCCGGATTGGAAGCAGCAGCCCCACTCGTGATTTGGACGGACTCCAAGCGGGGAATCGTCACCGCAGATTCGCTCCACATTCCCTGCAACGGGAACTTGACACCATCCAGGCCAAGGATTTACACGTCCGCCCGCCATCAGCACCATCGACGGACATTGAAACGCGCCTCGCGCGTCCTTCCCCTCACCATGTTCGGCATCCTGGAAGCAGTCTCCGTCCCGCTCACTGGACTGTACACCACCTACGACGACCTGATTCGCGACTTGAGCGATCGTGCGGCCAAGGATGGGTACAAAATCGTCAAGGCGCGGTCGCATCGCGCCCGCGTCAACGGGACGGAACAGAACTCGAGCGAGATGATCCGATGCGATCTCGTCTGTGATCGCGGCGGGCGCCCGTACAAGTGTCAGGCAACAAAGCACAAGACGACGACGAAGAAGACGAATTGTCCATGGAAGGCAAAGGCGGTTAATCGCAAGACAATGGGAGGTTGGGTCTTGACAGTCGTCTGCGATCAGCACAACCATGAACCGGGGACACCAGAGCCACCGACACCGTCAGCGGCAAGTGACGCAGGGGCCGCACTGGATAATGATGGTAAGTACATAGAGACTGTCGAGGAAGAGTTCCGCAGCTGACAGTGTTCTTTGTAGGCGACGAAGTAGGCCCTCGGGCCGACGTCGACACCTCGGAAGCGATGCTGGCTGCTGGTGTGCCAAACTCTACCATGCGCCTGACAGGCGACACTTTCTCAAGCTTCAAGGCCGAGTACCGCAAGCTGTCGCAACCGGAACGAATCGGTGTGCTCTCACAACTGCAACTGCGCGTTGCCGCGCTATATGCTATACAGAACGAGGAAGTCCAGCGGAACAAGCGACAGGAACAGCAGCGACAACGGCATCAGGAGATTGAAGCAACACGGATGGACCGACACGACGGGAAGAGGCAGAAGCGGCAGCAGGGCACGCCCGTGCAAAGACTGCAAACTGTCGACTCACCTCACCAGCCGCCGACATTACAAAACACGCCAACAATGCAGCATACTCCAACACTGCAACATACGCCCGTTCCAAACGAGCAAATGGCGCCGACTGCACCAATGCACGTCCAGCCGCAACATATGCAACAGCAAATGACTCCAAGCCAGCAGCAGCATGTACAGCACCAAAACCAGCAATTCCATGTCCAGATACCAGACAGTCCTAGTCAGCAGCTCATGTCTATGGGAATGAATCTCGGACTATCGCCGCCGCCGCCGCCGCCGCCCCAGCAGCCATCTACACCATATTCCGGGCCGCCAAAGAAGATGCGCGGAAACCGGACCCCGCAAGCAGGGCAGCAGCCCAGTCCGACTGTTCAGCATTAATACGGCTCAGATAGGCGATGGCCGAATTGCCCGTCCCGGATATGGAGCCTAAGCGATATTTACGACCAATGACGGATAATGTGATTTGATGAGCGTTCCAGGCGGCGTTAGTCTAGCTGGACTAATAATTTGTACAGGGTGCGTGTTGGCGCGGCGAAGCTTGCTAGGAAAGGCCTTAACAAATCTGTGTGGGCTGGCGGCGGAGATCTGATAGCGCGGCTCACCGCCTAAATTTTGGAAATTTTGCCGTTTTCTTGAGGATGGGGGAAAAGAAACCCCACCATGGACGAAGCTGGGATTTCTGAATGATGACAATTCACCCATACTTGATACCCATTTCGTGATTCGACTACCATGGCGACCGTCGTACCGCCCCCGTCCAAGAGACAGAAGCGCGCAGAGCTCGAGCGCAGCCAATTGCAACAGGATGTGACGTTGGCGAACGAGGGCCCTGCTGGCTCCTTCAAAGCCCACTTCATCGACGGCGATGGCAAGCAGATGGCCGATGTGATCGAGGTGCCTCTGAAAGATGCGTCCGAGAAGAACCTGTCGCTTCTGCTCAACACGTTGATGGCTAGGGTGCGTATCCTCCCCGTTCGCGTAAAGTGCGCGCTGACTGACACTGCGCCAGGACAAGGAAGATTTCCTGCCGTACCGCTTCCGCATACACATCCCTGACAGCGAGATCATTGTCGACGAATATCCCACCGACCTAGTCAAGCTTCTCCGCGATCATGGTATCGACAACCCTTTCGAGACGACCGTCACACTCAGCGCCGAGCCGCAGGCCGTGTTCAAAGTGCAAGCCGTGACGCGCATGTCCCATAAAATCCCTGGCCATGGAGAAGCCATCCTCGCGGCCCAGTTCAGTCCCGCGAACAGCAGCAGGTTAGCAACGGGATCTGGCGACAAGACGGCGAGGATCATGGACACAGATACGGGCACGCCCAGGTTCACATTGTCAGGACATACACATTGGGTTCTCTGCGTGGCGTGGTCCCCGGATGGCAAGAGGTTGGCGACGGGCAGCATGGACAAGACTGTACGGTTGTGGGACCCAGAGACGGGGAAACCCATTGGCCAGCCCCTGACAGGCCACGCCAAGTGGGTGACTAACATTGCCTGGGAGCCGTACCATCTTTGGAAGGAAGCGCCTCGACTGGCGAGTGCGAGCAAAGATGGTACTGTCAGAGTGTGGAACGTGGTGACGGGTCGGTCGGAGCACGTCTTGTCCGGGCACAAGAGCAGCGTGAGCTGTGTCAAATGGGGTGGCACGGGGATGATCTACACTGGCAGCCACGACAAGGCTGTGAGGATATGGGATGCGGACAAGGGAGTACTTTTACACACTCTCTCCGCGCACGCACACTGGGTCAACCATTTGGCGCTGTCGTCGGACTTTGCGCTGCGCACAGCGTACTTTGACCACGAGCCGGTGCCTGACTCGGAAGAAGGCAAGAGGGCCAAGGCCAAGGCACGCTTCGAAAAAGCCGTCAGGGTGCAGGGCAAGGTGGCCGAGCGTGTGGTCTCTGCGAGTGACGACTTCACCATGTACCTCTGGGATCCGTCGTCGGGAACCAAGCCTGTCGCTCGCCTGCACGGGCACCAGAAGCAGGTCAACCACGTCACATTTTCCCCAGATGGACTCCTCATCGCCAGTGCGGGCTGGGACAACCACACCAAGATATGGAGCGCCAAGTGAGTTACACTCCGAGGGGTCTTCCCCGGGTCCCCGATGGGTAGAAGCCATACTGACTCGAAGCTAGGGACGGCCGCTTTATCAACACCCTCCGGGGCCATGTCGCCCCCGTCTACCAGTGTGCCTTTTCCGCAGACTCCCGACTCCTAGTGACGGGGTCAAAGGATACGACGCTCAAGGTGTGGTCCATGGCGACGTGTAAGCTGGCAGTGGACCTTCCGGGTCATCAGGACGAGGTGTACGCCGTGGACTGGAGTCCCGATGGTACCAAGGTGGGGAGTGCTGGCAAGGACAAGGCCGTGCGACTCTGGTGCAACTAAGTGCTTGCTACACAGTGGTAGGGGAGGAAGACGAAAAGCAAGAAGGCTCCCGACGGTCAACTCCCGAGTCCGTGGTGGTTCAGCCTGTAGCGATGGGTCTGTCCAGCAATGTAAGAGAAACAGTCGGGAGATCCAGGAGCGAACAAGAGTGGCAGAAAACATTACGCACGAAAAGAAGACGGGGTGATCGGCCCTAGAGTACGTATGCGCGGGCATACGTACTCTTCGAAGACTAATTAGACAAAGAAATGCGCACTAGGCGGTGTTCAGTGCGCGATCGACGTGACACTTTTGGAACGTCCGAGTCATCAACAATTCCGTCGACGAACTGTCCGCAACGTGATTCAGAACGACACTTTCCTCAGCGACAATGCCAACGCCATGCAAACAAGCAAAGGGGAGGAAACACAAGCTTCACTAGCCACCGACCATCGGGCATTTGCCAATGCTTGTCTGCGAAAAACTTCGAGAAGCCATCTTGCATCAGGGGCAATCCAACTACCGTGCCGGCTACCCTTGCGCTAAACCGCGCTCAGCAAAGACCCTGCCGAAATCTCTGCTTAATGCCGCGATCCGCTGGCGAATCGCCCTTGACCATTCCACTCGATAGGGTCACAAGGCCCTTTCGTTGGTGACGTTTCGCCCTGCGAGGCCGGTCACTCGGTCACCCTCCGACTGCCAGACCCACATGGCCGACAGTTCCGGCCCGCTCCCGAGCATGTCTCACCGAGAGTCGTCCGTGCCGGCATCCGAGTCTTATGGACCTGTCGACGACATTGTGTCACGAGAAGAGACGGCCAGAAGGGGGGGCGTGTACTGTACGCGCGCGAGCACGGCGGAGCGTTGGAGAAGACGAAGCCGTCTACGGTCTACCTAGGGTTCGAGTGGGGGATGAGGGTTTAATCGTGTTGCGTGATGCTCATAAGCCCATCCCATGGGGTCTCCGCAGGGGACATCACTAAGCATGAATCGTGAGAGGGTTCACGGTGAAGGCAAGTTGAGTTGTTGAGGAGTGAGCTCCCCACCTCTTCATGGGGTATATGACCAAGAGGGCCACCTTCACAGGTCTTGTCAGCTTCACCCTCTCTCTTTGCTCCCATCCCTTTTCCCTCGAGCGTCTTTCCCTTCGCCAGAGACAGGTCAAGAGACAATGGCACCAAAGTACTTTGGCGTGCAGGGCCGCGTCCTGAGCATCCTCCAGATCGCTCTCATCGTCGCGCCCTCTTTCATCCTCTTCGGATACAACCAGGCAGGCATCGCCGGTCTGATCCACGAGGAGGACTGGCTCAAGACCTTCCCCGAGATCGACACAGTCCACTCAACCGGGGCTGAACAGAGCCGAAAGTCGACCCTTCAGGGCTTCGTCGTCGCCACATTCACCATTGGCGCCTTGATCGGCTCGCTGTCCTGCTCCTACACCGGTGACAAGTTTGGACGACGTAATGTCATCTTCGCAGCCGCCTGCTGCACCCTGATTGGAGAGATCCTCGAGGCGTCGAGCTTCTCCCTTGCGCAGTTCATCGTCGGTCGTGTCATTGTCGGTCTCGGCATCGGTCAGCTCAGCTCCATCGTGCCCGTCTGGCAGTCCGAGACATCGGGCGCCAAGAATCGTGGTCGCCATGTCGTCTTGGACGGCCTCTTCATCTGCGTGGGCTACGTGCTCGAGTCGTGGATCAACCTGGGCTTCTTTGAGTTCCAGCATGGCCCCGTCACCTGGCGTCCCCCCATCGCCATCGCCATCTTCTTCTCCATCATTCTCATGGCGTCCATCTACATGTTCCCCGAGAGCCCCCGCTGGCTGGTCATGAAGAACCGCAGTGATAAGGCCAAGCCCATCGTGGCGGCTCTTCGGGGCATGGAGGTCGACTCGCTGCAGGTCCAGGCGGAAGTGTCCGGCATCGAGCACTCTCTGGAGGAGACGAGCAAGGGCGGCGCGAAGCTGCGCGATGTCCTCCGCATGGGCGACGACAAGCTACTGTATCGCTTCCTGCTGTGTATTTTGTTACAGTTTTTTCAACAAATGAGTGGCTCGAACTTAGTCAGCGTGTACGCCCCCGTCATCTTCCAGGACAACCTCAACATGTCGGCCGAGATGTCCAAGGTGCTCACGGGCGGTGCCCTGACGTGGAAGTTCCTGGCGAGTTTCATCGCCTTTTTCACCATTGACCGCTTTGGCCGACGCGTCGTCTTTATCATCAGCGGCATCGGCATGTCCTGCTGCATGATTGCGCTCGCCGTCGCGACCTCCTTTGACAAGGACAACAAGCCCGCCATGATTGCGGCCGGCTGCTTCATCTACCTCTACAACACGTTTGTGCCGATTGGCTTCCTGGGCGCCAACTTCCTGTACTGCACAGAGGTCGCGCCCATCCGCCTGCGCATGGCCATGTCGTCCATCTCCACCGGTAACCACTGGCTCTGGTACGTGCCCCAGTCTGTCTTCTATTGGTAGAAGAAGGGTGGTATGCTAACAAATCTTTAGGAACTTTGTCGTCGTCATGATAACCCCTGTCGCCATCAACAACATTGGCTACCAGTACTACATTGTCTACGCCGTCATTGCAGCCTGCATCCCCATCTCCGTATTCTTCTTCTACCCCGAGACCATGGGCCGCAACCTCGAGGAGATCGATCTCATGTTCCGCGAGTCACCCTCTGTCTTTGCGACGGTGCGCTTCGCCAAGACCAGGCCCGTTGCCATGCCGCAGGAGTTTATCTCGGAGAAGGCCCAGAAGCCTGACCACGAGGAGGAGGGCATTGAAGCGTGATGTGTTATGGACTAGTTGTTGTTGGAGATATTGCATAGTGTGTGAAATAGACTACAAGGTTTCAGATTACCTCGCTATTGCTACCATCTTTCACATGAGTTTAATCACTTGCAAAGAGCATTTGGGAACGAGTGTATTGAATCATTCCGCTACCTATCAACGCGAGTCCAGCCACCCATACTATTTTGCCGAGCGAACTAGACTAAGCCTTCGCCCGGGCTGTCGATTAGAAAAGAGCAACTGCGCGAGCAGATTTGCCATGCCGATCATTCTTAATGAGAGGCGGCGGGACCCAATGGCCCGCCGTCAGGGGAGAATCCAAAGTTGTATATATGTGCGTATGGGTGGGTGCTGGTTCGCGGAAAGGTGTCCAAACATCCGCAAGCGTATCGCAGTAAAGATTTCTTCGTCAGACTGTACGTTGTGATGTGCCTGCAAGGAGGATTAGAACACCTTTCAATTACATTCCGTGTAGGGGACGTACTTATTGGAGGGTCACGAGGACGTTGCGGGCAGCCAGGCGGATGGCGTCCAAGTCACGCTTGGCCTTCCAGCACGACTGTCCAGGGCGCTCGCACCAGGCCTCAGCCTCAGCATCAGCGTTGGCCTCGGCGTCGCGCTTCCAGCAAGACTGGCCGGGACGCTCGCACCAGGGCTCGGCGTCACGCTTGGCGAACTCGGGGTCGAAGGAGCGGGTGGTCAGGTCGCGGGTCTCCATGGGGCCGGTGGCCTCGAGGACGGCGTCAGCGGCGCGCTTGGCCTTCCAGCAGGACTGGCCGGGACGTTCGCACCAGCGCTTGTCCTCGGTGGCGGCCTGCTCAACGACCTCCTCGCTGGGTGGCTCGGCGCACTGATGATTGTGGGGGTAGAGCTCGCAGAACCTGGGAGCGCAGGCCGGATCGGCTTCACACCAGGGCTCAGCCTCGCGCGTGTCCAAGACGGTGTCGCGAGCAAAGTGGTTCTCGAGGTTGAGGTCGTTGTAGAAGGCGTCGGGGGACTTCTTGGTCAGGGCGACGAGGTGGGCCAGCTCGTCGTTGACGCGCTTGGCGTTGAAAGAAGCGAATCCGGGGAGGTTGCTGACGTCCGCCTCAGGGGAGCGAGCCTCGAGGGCGCCCTCGCCAAAGTGGGCGGCGAAGGCCTCGGCAGCGCGCTTGACCTTCCAGCATGACTGTCCTGGGCGTTCGCACCAGGCCTCGGCATCAGCCTCTCGCTTGGCCTTCCAGCATGACTGTCCAGGACGGTCACACCAGGCGTCAGCATCAGCATCAGCCTCTGCCTCCGCCTCAGCTTCAGGTTCGGCCTCGGCATCGCGCTTCCAGCAGCTCTGGCCGGGGCGCTCGCACCAAGCATCGGCCTCCGCATCAGCCAGCGCCTCCGCGGCGCGCTTGGTCTTCCAGCATGACTGTCCAGGGCGATCACACCAGGCCTCAGCCTCGGCGACACGCTTGGCCTTCCAGCAAGACTGTCCGGGACGCTCGCACCAGGCATTCGCCTCGGCCGCGCGCTTGTGCTTCCAGCACGACTGGCCAGGGCGCTCACACCAGGCGTCGGCCTCGGCGTCCGGCTCAGCGTCACGCTTCCAGCACGACTGTCCGGGGCGTTCGCACCAGGCATCGGCCTCCGCATCGGCGAGAGCCTCAGCAGCACGCTTGACCTTCCAGCATGGCTCGCCGGGACGCTCGCACCAGGCCTCAGCATCGGCAACGCGCTTGGTCTTCCAGCAGGATTGTCCGGGACGCTCGCACCAGGCCTCGGCGTCGGCCTCAGGGGCGGGAGCGGGAGCAGGGGCAGCCCAGACGGCCGCAGCCATGGCTACCATTGCGTAGGTGAACTTCATGATGAAGTCTGTTGGGGGGGTTGTCTCGCAAAGAGTGTTGCGGGTAGGGGTTGTTGTTTGTTTGTTTGAGCGGCACTCGTTGGGTGTGTCACTTGTCGTTATCTTGTCCAAGGTTAGGAAACTCTTGTATGGTGGGAACGAGCCTGGGGGGGCAAAAGAAGATCGAGTCGTTTCGAGGGATGGCGATGCTGGTTTTATAAGAAAGTGGCAAGAAGAACAGAGAAGGCTTCCTGTAGCTGTTCAAGCATGTTGAGAAGCTATTTCGGTGGTGGTGGCCATCAGATCGATGCCCTCTGCAACTCTCTCAAAGCCTTTTGTCGCTATTGAGGGTCGTTCTCAATAGAGGTGCCAGACACCGAACTGAGCCCCTCGCAGGCCGCGACACAGTGAATGAGTTCATCTTGTCTGCTGAAGCTGCAGGTACCAATGGTAAGGCTTGCCATACACACCAGATGAACACGTTCAGGAGGGTCAATATGAGCGCGGACTCGCCCATCAAAGGCAGCGCCCGCATGGTGGCGGCGAAGAGGATGGTTGATCTTTAGACACGGAAAGGGAACAGCCTCTTTGCCGTGTCCTTGAATAACCTTAAGGGATGGCTGATCTCCTTTCTGTGTTTCCCAGGGGCTCGTTAACATAATCCTCAGGACGGTCTCCTGTGCTTTCTGACCATAGGGGAATGCTGTCCAGTCCCGACCTCGAGACATTGCTCACTTGTGGGATCATGGAAAATTGAATCCAAACTCGAAGAACGAACATGCTGCGGACCTGAACCTCGGCCAAGAGCGTAGAGTGGCCCAGTGTGCAAACCAGGCTCTGAGATGTTATTCAGGGTCTATTGACACCCAAAAGGGGAACCGGTCAATAACGCCGCCACCTCCCGCCAGACCGGCCGACTAAGTTAGTCCGTCACTTTATGGTCCCTTATTCAGCGAATCAAGACGATTGGTCCAGCGAATTTCAGAGTATGAACGACCTGGAATGTGACTGCATCGTCTTTGCACGAAGGCCTTTATTCAAAGCTGTGGATGGTCTCGTGGCAGAAGTCGTTGTCGCATGGCGGTGGCCCACGCTTACTGACCGGCCGAAGCTGAGCGATGTCCAAAAAAGTAACCTCCACTGTAGCGTGTGATTCCCACGTTTGCATCGCCCCGATCAAAGCTACGTCTGCGCACCTCTGTCTCTGAAGTGAGATGTAAGTGATCTGGCATGATGGGCCTGCCCCACGGTAAGCCACGTTGCCGAGGGATGCACAAGGGAGGTTCCTTACGGTTGAAAGTGCCATAGCCAGTTCCTGTTCTCTTGAAGGTCTCGCCAATGTGATAGATCTGGATGTGCATGTGGTGATTCGCCCAAAACCCTCCCCGCAAACATCAGTCCGTCGAAGACTAGACTCACGAGTGAGCTCGCGTACTCGTCGTCGAATCGATGATCAATAGTAGGTCCCAGCTCCTTGGGTTATTCAGACCACGAACTTCACCACGGGGGTCCGCCAATGGCTCGCCAAAGCTCTGCGAGGGCTCCCATCACCTCCTTGAACCCCAGAGCGTGTGGCTGCATGAGCGGCCATTCTGCTGATCGGCAAGGGACGCATCCTTGGACGTCACATACTTGGAAACACTAGCGGGATTGCTTCCATTGTGGCCATCTTCGGAGGGGGGCCTCCAAGCAACGCTTCTCCAGTCTCGCTGCTCGTCACATTGAGCTGCACCCGCGTCAATAGACACGGGTAGACTTCCGGCGCATATGGTTACTCTTCAGAGAGACAGTGCGGAGTGTCATCACAAGCTTTCCTTGGATACCCAATGGCCCGTTGGTGGAATCTTTGATGCTCGCTCAACAACACCACTAATAGATCTTGGAGAAGTGAAGGTACGTTGCCTCGAATCGTCTCGATAGATACATTGAAGCCCATAATGATTGATTGCAATTCATGCCCAATGTGGACTGCATACCAGGGGGGCGGGGGCGTAACTTAAGTCGTATATCTGAAGTCCAGACAGGAGTGCTTGTGATCAGCAACCATTCCGCGACGCCATGCTGGCGCTCAGGCCTACGCGGGTGGCAGCAGCTTTTCGAACGACGGGTGGTGGATGATCGAGCAACGCTGTACGGATAGACCTGGCGGTGTGGTTTGCGTGGTGATGGTCGATGACGAGACTGGAAAGAAGGGGCGCCCAGGGCTGCTACAGAACACGTGACCCAAAGCTCAAGCGTTCCTGCGTCGCGTTGCTCCACGCGCCTCCAGCCCCTGCTCTTCCTCCCCTCCTCCCCTGATAGCTACTAGACCTTGCAGCCAACATTGACATTGAGCCAGACTCCTCAACTCCGACCGATTGTCGACGTATCCGCACCCTCGACCTGCCTCGTACTTGGCGTTCCCTCGCACGTGTTTGGGCGTATCGGCGTCTCGCCACGAGCCGCATCCATCTCCGACCTGTTCTGCATCTCGACCATCATCTCCGTCGGCAACACGACGCCTGACCCTCCACTTGTATCGTTCTGCGAATGCCGTTCCACGTCTTCCTGACTCTCATTCCCGCTCGACGCGTAGGCGTTGTACATGGTGTCCCGACGACCTTGGTATACATGCTCCCGCGGTGTCATGTTGGCGCCCGCCTGGGAGCTTCCTCCGCTGTGCTTATGGTGCGCCCTGCCATTCGTTGACCAGTCCGGGCTTCTCCATGAGCTGTCAGCCACCCCATCGGCCCCGCTTGGGTTCGAGCTCGACTCTCGGCATCCCGTGGCCATCTCCTTCAGCCTGTTCAATATGGGGAACTCTATCTTCAGCTTGACGCTGTACACCAGGCCCTTCCACGACGTCTGCAACGCGTAGCGGTTCGCGTACTCGAGCCCGAGGATTGTGCAGTCGAGAAGGATGATGATGACGTTGATTGTGATCAGGTACAGCATGAGCCGCCTCGAACGCTTGCGGTTTTGCTGCTGTAGCTCCGACTGCAGCCGCGCCATCTTGATGGTCTCCATGATGTAAAAGGACGAGATGATGAGCTCCTGGAGGAAGAAGACGGTGACTTGGATCTTCTCGTACACGCTGTAGACACTGACGAATGCCGCGTAGTCGTCCGAGTTGGCGCCGTACGCCATGGTGGCAGTGGGAATGTGCATGGTGATGGCGTTGAAGATGATCATGTATAGGATCCACCGCAGCTTGTCGGAGTCGCGCAACACAAGATGCAGCCGTGAGTACAGGACCATGGACTGGCCCGTGACCATGGCCATCCAACCGAGGACGATGAACGTCACATAGATGTAGGGGCTCGGATGGTGCGGGTTCGACTTGGTTTTGAGGATGAATCCAACTGCGTACAGGAGGATGCCGTACGTCGCGACGATGAACGACCAAAAGTACAGCCCCGAGTGTCGCTTGAAGTACCCCCAGATGATAAACGTCAGCTCGATCGTGTTGTAGATGGCGATGCAGTCAAAGACAATGACTATGTAGCCAAGAGCGCCTTCAACGGGTGGCCCGTTGACGACCCCTTTGTCGCCCTTGGGTGCCTGCATCACGCTCTAGAAGGGCGAGGACACCTGCGCAGTGGATGGGCGTGTTGGTGAGTCGGGTTCATCGTCAGTCCGCCATGGGCGCAACACAAATCTGGATGGTGCGGACGGTTGGTTCTATCGAGGCCATTTGCGAAGCTGGCTCGGATTGTCGCGGACTGGCATGGGATGCCATCCCCCGATTCCTTCAGTCCACGAAAACAGACCTTTTCTCGCGAACAGGTACCCGCAAACGCTGATGACGAGTGCGAGCTAATTGACAAATTGCTCACCAGAAGCCCGTCATTCGTTCTGTTTCCGCAGGCGAATCACACCGGCGGGTGATCAGTGAATACTGATCAGACAGCTAATTACCCCCAAATACCTGCGTGAGCTATCCCATTCTGGGCCCCCCAGGGCGATTGCCGCCCCGCTCATTGGCAAATTTCTTGCATAAAAACGGCTTGACTCGCGTGGCCAGCCAGCTAGGTTCAGAGCTATTGTGTAGATCATGACTTTGGGGTGTCGTGGTTGGCCCAGTTGGAGACAGCTGTGGGAGGACGGCTGCCACATCCGAGAGCCGGCTACCCGCCCCCATGGGCCAGACCGATCCATGTGCCACTATTCAGTGTCGACGACTCAACAGGCGGGATCTCGACTCTTGTGGCATTTGTCTTGGTTCTGAACGGCCGCTGACAGCCATCTAGATCCAGTCCCACGTGTCATCAACAGCCGAGATAAGGTCGGCAATCCCGCGACTTCACCTGGCTCGACACGCTGCCTCGAGTGCTGAGGCGGGCCGATCATGCTAGAAGTGTTCGGCAGTGTACCTTACCGTACCTTACGCATCGTATGACCAAGCCTCTTAGCGTGGCATGCAAACGCCTTGTTCTCGTGTTCGCGTTCCTTCTCCCGCTGTGCGATGGGCAAGCAGCGCGTTCACTGTTGCCGTCGCGAGTCTAGCCAGAACGTATTCGATCATGGCTTTGGCTACGTTGTTCACGATATCTGAATGCTTACCACACAGCCAAGAACATGACGGTATGCAGTTGATTCACTTTGCAAAGAACAACAACCAACATTGCAGGCTGAGAACAGCCAGCTCGCGCAGAATATTTATATCTACGATGCAACGTCGGTTCTACGATTCTTCTCCTCTCATTATCCACCTCTGATTATTTATTCTCGAGCCAAGACTCTTCTCAGCAGCCCACCCTAGTTGCATCGTTTTCCGGCAGACTTCGATCAAAATGGCATCAGCTCAGGAGCATGATGGCCAGGTGACTCTCGGAGTTGAGCTCGAGTTTCTTGCGACTCTGCCCTGGTCCCAGGAGGATGTGGAAAATCCCAGAGGAGAAGGTTCTATGGAACGAGACACATGCTCGCCATGCGCTGAGCCAAGATTTGGCCAAAGCCGGGCTTCCTACACTCACCGTCTGTCGCCATTCGGTCGACAAGGCCGAGAAATGCTGCGTCTGCCAGCACAACAAAAGTAAGTATTCACAGCAAGGCGATCGCCAGGTCGGCTTTTATCTGCCACAGGGTACTAACATCGACCCGCAGGATGCATCAGAGACGACGTTCAACACTGTGGATGAAGAAATTCTCGGAGTCCGCGCCTTTGGCGACCATGAAAAAGTCTGTCATGGTTTGGAGATAGCGAGTGCTGTCTTCACTTCGCAGACCATGGCCGACATCCTGCCTGTGTTCGACGTGATCAACGCCACGGACCATGTCATCAACGACAGCTGCGGCATGCACATCCATGCTGGCTTTACGGATGGTCTATCCCATATAGAGGCCAAGAAAATTATCACCGTGGTTGCCTTGGTTGAAGGCTGCTTCATTAGGCAGATTCTGCCGGCTGATCGTCTTGAATCGCTGTTCATCGACCCAATTTCCACCGAGTCCAATCTGAGCACCGAAGCGCACCGTGCAGCCTTGTTTGAGGCTGCACAGTCTGCTTCACAAACTTTACTTCCCGTGACGGACAAGATGCGAGCTCACCTGCCGCGTAGTGTGCTTGAGATGCGAAAGCGAGGATGGAACAAGACCACTGGCCACCTTCAACTCAAGAACCTGATCAAGACCATCTGGCACACGAACAACATGTACGAGCTTGCTCGCGGTATCCTCATCAAAGGCGGCAATATGCGCGGCGGTGCTGCCATTTGTCTCCGTCTGCCACACAACTTGAAGAGGGTGAGCCTGCGCAACCCCCTTCGGGATGATCTTCCAGTCAAGACCCCGTCGTCGATTGAGTTTCGCTACCCGCCCATGAAGGCCGACAAAGACCACTTCAAGCTGTGGATTGAACTCGCCAAGACAATCATGAATTTCGGTAAGATGACTGACACGGTCTACTCTCAACGACTTGACCGTCTTGTTGGTGTTCTGAATGGATGTTCTGCTATTGGGCAGACATGGACGCTTGTTCTCATTGAGCTTGGCCTAGGCGAGCGAGTCGAGGCTTGGAAGGCACACAAGCGCGGCGATCATTAGAGTGCGCAGTTTTCAATATGTCATGTTTCTCACGGTAAGATAGAGGTAGGTTGCCAGTATTGTCGCGATTTCATTTCTTGCTAGGTTCGTATGACTCTCAATCAAGACTGACTAAAACAGACCAGTTGCCAACCAGTATCCGTCCTAAGCCACAAAGTACAGGAAAACATTTTCATATCCTCGACACCCATCTTGGGGGTCGTATCTCGTTTTCTCTCAGTGTTCCAGTTCCCATCCTTCTCGTTGTCAAGATAGACAGACATGCCAAGTTCTTCATAGACAACGCAATGCAATCAAATCATCTGCCGGCACTCATCGGTGCGTACATTTCCTCATCTTCCTGGTAGTAAACTGAAGACACACAAGGTTCTTCATAGACAACGCAATGCAATCAAGTCGTCTCCTGGCACGCATCGTTGCGTACACTCTCTCATCTTTCTCAAAGCAAACTGAAAACACAAAGTCAGGCGTGCAAGAACGAACCAAGGAAATTTCCATAAGACAAAGCCAGAACATGTTCTTGCTCAAATGACAGAAAATGCGGTAATGCTTGCGCCAGCATTAGGCGCCGTTCGTGGCGGCAGCGGCCAGTTTGTCAGCCTTGCGTCGCTGCCTCTCCGCCTTCCTCTCGGCCTTGGTGCTCGCGGGGCTGGGATGAAGAGTGCCACGTGCTGGGCTCTTGACGTATGAACCAGCCTCCATTGTCTCCGGTATAGAGGCAGCAGTCTCCGTGATGGTCTGGGAGGCAGAAGCCTCAGACAGGTCGTCAGTCTTGTTGTGCTTGTTCTTCTTCTTTTTCTTCTGCTTCTTCTCCGTCTTGACCTTGACCGGCGGCTCTGAATCGTTGGCGTACAGCCTGAAGTCTCCGCCATTTTCGTCGGCCGTGTGGTAGTTCGGAGAGGACGGGGGGAGTTCGATGTCGGCTGCGCTGTTGTCGGTTGACTTCGGTGTCGCTGCGCGGTTGGCCTTGCCTCGATGCAACGTTGGGGACGAGTCGTACTCGGCGTCCGACTCAGGCTGGCACAGATCAGACAAGCTCAGGCTTCGGAGCTGCTTTTTCTCGATCTCGCCGCCACTGGCATTGACATGGGCAGCTTCGATGAGCTCGTCAAGCGATGGCAGATCATTATCCTCAGCCTCAGCGTTGCCATCCTGTTCAGTGTCGGCCTGCTCAATGAGGCGGACTTCCTCTTCGGATTCGTCAGCAGAGTCTTCTTCATTGGCAGCATCGACCATGTCGGTGTCAGCCAGTTCAGGCGAGAACAGCGGTCCAGGTGCCTCAAGATCCGTTTCCTCTGGGATCAGCACGGTCATCAACTGGTGTGGCTCGTCATGCTCCGTGTCATCGATGCCCATGTCAGTAAAGCTGGGGGGCGACAGTGCATTCGAAATCTCCCGACCGCGGCGAGACTTCTTCAGATCCTTGGCCAGCTTGCGTCGAGCGCGGAAGAGAGAGCTGAGGCGGCGTCCGGATCGCGTCTTCATCATCTTGCGAATCTTTTGATCGACCTCGCCAATCAGGAAGCGGCGGGCAATCATCTTGTGCTGCTGATAGATCTCCTTGGCAGTGCGTCGCTGGGGAGTGGGCTCTGTCTCAATGCTCTCCTGGGGCTCGGTAGAGGCTTGTACGAGCTCGACCTGGCCCTCCTGAGCGGTGTCAGAGTCAACTTCGACCTTCACCTCTTCTTTCCTCTCGGGCTTCTTCATCTCGGCTTCAGTAATCTCCTCCAAGTCGGAATCAGAGCTCTCCGAGGCCGACGAGATCTCCTGGTAATCGAGCTCGTGGCGGGGACTCTCCTTCAACTTCTTGAGGTTCGCCTGGCGCTGGTCGGTGTCGTCCAGCTCAAGTGGGCGCTTTGGGGACGATCCCAGTGGCGGCTGAGACTTTGATCGTTGCGAGAGACTTGGTGTGGTCTTGATGACGGACTGAGCAAAGTTGAGCTTTCGTACGACAGGGTCTGGCGTCTTCTTGGCCTGAGAGCTCGCGGTGCCAGTGAGCGCATTCACCGTTGGCTTCTGAGCGCCAAATACGGGAATGGGAACAGGAGTTTCAGCTCGCTTCCTGTCTTGGGCAGCAGCGACAATCTCCCCCGCGCATGCGCGATTGATGGGCGACCTGGGGTCTTGCAAGGGGTTGAATCGAACATGCTTCATGTCCTTTGGAGTGGCGGTCTGAGGCATGGGAACGGGACTCTTCTGTGCGGCAGACGCTGGTGGTGAGACTTCCATGACTTCGTCGCTTCCCTGGTTGTTACTGCTCGATGCGATGACGCCGTTTGTTGGCTGCGCCGTCTTCTTGCCGCGGGACTTGAGCCAGCGGTCGTTGGCGAACCGTATGTTGGTGTGGCGGTCCATCAGCTCTTTGCAAGGGGCAAAGTTCTCCAGCTTCTCAACATCCCAGACGCAGCGAGCGATGCTCAGCGCGATGGGGGAGGTTTGTTCTTTCAACCACCTGCCGAGAGTGGAAGACGATGGCGTGATGTTGGTTTCGCTCTTGCTTTGCATCTTGAGGAAGCCTTCACGGCAAACAATCTTTTCTTTGTCGTTGAGAACATCCCAGTGGGTTTGCATCCACTGCTGGGCTTCTTTACTCTTGCCAAGCCAAAATGAGGAGGTCTTCGGCTTGTACATCCAATCCTTTGGTTCAGCTGGCTCGACCAAGGCGGCGTGGCCTGGTGAAGACATGATTGACAGGGTGGAAAGCTCTGTCAAGGTTGGTTGAATGAATTTTGTGCAATGTGGCTTGCGAGTTACTTGCAGTGAGGCAGCAACAGGTGTGTGTTGGAGTGAGTTTGTGTTTGTTGCAGATGCTTGCTCACAACCAAGACTGCTTGACCAGCAAGCGCGCGTGGTGTGCTTGAATAGCAACGAAAGGAATAAAGGCACCTTCGAGCTCGGATTCGAGCGGAGATGATGAAAGTACCGGGTTGTAGAGAAATGAGTACTAGTATGTGATGGATAATGTGGGCAGAGTGAGTGTTCACGAAATGGTTTGAAGAAGGAAAGAGAAGTGACGGGGGAGGACGAAGGAAAGGGTGGGATGGATAGTCACATTTCACTCAAGCAGTCTCTCTCAAAAGTGAAGCCGTTCTGATCTTGCGTTGACAAACTTCCATTCATTTCTATTCCTAACCTTGCGATCATCCCAACTTGGCGTGGTGACCGCTGTTTACAGCGACTGGACCTCCGGCACTAAGGTTGACAGCTGTGTGAATTACACAGGGGCTGGAACCCCGAAGGCCTTTAGGCTTCAGTGTTGCCTCCCCTCGAGTGCTGCATATTAGTGAAGATGGGATTGATTTGACAGGGCCCTCGTGCCCACGTGAGTACTACACGTATCTATCAGACACCATACGTAATGGCACCAAGCCTGGGCCTAGGCCATAGTGAAGCGACACCTCAATGCGGGATGAGAGGCTGGGGCCTCAAAACTCTCCACTACATGGGCACCATGGCGTCCGGCATTGTGTGGTCTGAAGAGAATTAACAGCTATTGACATGAGCGGAACAATAATAAGTTCAAAGGGCAGCATGCCCCGGAGCCCCTGGTCTTGAGCGCCCACGTGCTACACAAAGTCTTCCATTAAGTTTGCAAGTGGCCAAATTAATCAGACTACAATGCCACGGCCTGAGTTCCAATTAGCACCTAGTCTATCTCTGAAAAGCATGCCCTATTTACTTCTAGCAGTAGTGAGAGCCTCCTAAGTCTATAGTACCACTACTAGACATGTGTTCGGCTTAAGATTTAATCCAATTTAATGGAATGGGGCTAACCGCCCTTCTATCTCAACTGTACCACTGCCCCGGCTGGTCAGGATCATTTTATTAGCGATTTCAATACCGTGTTACTCTTTAATAGCTCCCTTTAGTAACTACAAGCGGCCCTAGGCTCTGGCGCACCCCTAGGCTGTATCCAAACACAATAGGTGCATACTAGCACCTCTATCTAGGTACTTTTAGAACAATCTTCATCAGCAATCAGTTATTCACGCTAGCAATTCCAGAACCTTTCCGCGCTTTGCAATAGTAAATCATTTCTGCTGTCTCTATGGCTGAACAATTTTGTGGAACTATGTAGACAGCAAGAACCCATTAAGACACGAACCAAACAGTAGGAGCCGAGCGCCGCCAATCCCAAAACGTTAAGACTAAGGTCGGCATAATGTTGATGGCCGTTCGGGTTTTCGATATCCTAATTAATCAGGCCTGAGGACAGGCTTTAGAGAAACCATGACCTAGAGGCATTGAATAGTGGACGCGCTAAGCCCAATGTCTCACACTAGAAACGTCCGCGTCATGGATAGCCGTTACGTCAGAATCGAGATCATACTCCCACGCATACTGCAGGCAACATCTATGTGACCAAGGCCCAGTCGATAATTAATGGGTGTCAGATCACACCAGTCGGGCAATTTATATATGGCCGCATGAACCACACTCCCATGTTCTCAAAAGTCATTGCTTGTTACTTTCCATCCACCTATCTCTCACAGCTTCACCATGGCGCCCGCAGCAGTTGACTCTTCCTTCAAGGCCCACGTTGCCGAAAGGTTTTGCACCTACGAAGCCGACCGAAAAGCCACATCCAAAGAGTGCGTCTACACTACTTCCAACGGTGTTCCCGTACCCCATCCGTACGAAGCTCAGCGCCTGGGCAACGGGCCCCTCCTGCTACAGGATTTCCATCTAGTTGATCTCCTCTCGCACTTTGACCGTGAGCGTATTCCCGAGCGCGTTGTCCATGCCAAAGGCAGCGGTGCGCACGGTGAGTTCGTCGTGACGGACCCATGTCCTGACCTGTGTCTGGCCGATTTGTTCCAGGAAAAGGGCAACAAATGCTCCATCACTGTCAGATTCTCGACTGTCGGCGGCGAGAGTGGCTCGCATGATCTGGCGCGAGACCCACGAGGATTCTCTGTCAAGTTCAGGACCAATGAGGGCAACTGGGATATGGTGGCCAATAACACACCTGTTTTCTTCCTGAGAGACCCTGCCAAGTTCCCCTTTTTCAGTGAGTTCCTGTGATCAATTCCTGGAGTGTCGATCATATGGCTAATATCGTAGTTCACACTCAAAAGCGTGACCCGGCCACTCACCTCACCCATGCTGACGACTCGACACACTTCTGGGAGTACTTCTCGCAGAATCCCGAGTCCATCCATCAGGTCATGGTCCTTTTCGGCGATCGCGGCATTCCCAAGGGATATCGCTTCATGAACGGGTACTCCGGTCACACGATGAAGCTTGTCAACAAGGATGGCGATTGGGTCTATTGTCAGTTCCACATGAAATCGATGCAGGGCATCCAGTTCTTCACGCAAGAGGAGTCTGCCAATTACTCGCCCGATTACTCGCAGAAGGACCTCTACGAGGCAATTCAAAAGGGTGACTACCCCAAGTGGACACTGGAAGTGCAGACCATGACCCCCAAGCAAGCGGAGGAGCTGTGGGAGACGCAAAAGATCAATGTCTTTGACCTGACGCACATTTGGCCGCAAGGACAGTTCCCTCGTCGCAAGATCGGCGAATTTACCCTCAACGAGAACGCAATCAATTACTTTGCCGAGGTTGAGCAAGCCGCATTTAATCCAGCTCACATGGTCCCTGGCATCGAGCCCTCAGCTGATCCGGTGCTCCAGTCAAGACTGTTCTCGTACCCTGATACTCATCGCCACCGCATCGGCGTCAATTATCAGCAGCTTCCCGTGAATGCGCCGCGAACCGCCTATATGCACGCAAACTTCCAGAGGGACGGTTCCATGGCCTTCTTCAATCAAGGAGCCAGGCCCAATTACCTGTCCTCCATCGATCCAGTTCTGTTCGAGCCCCGGGCCGTTGACCTGGACAAGACGCATGGACACTTTACGGGCGAGGCTGTGACGTTCCTCAGCCAGATCCGGCCCGAGGACTTCAACGCCCCTCGCGCGCTGTGGCAGAAAGTGTTCGACGAGCCGGCGCGGGAGCGATTCATCAACAATGTGTCGGGCAAGATGGCCTCGTGCCCGGACAAGGAGATCCTCAAGCGCCAGATTGCCATCTTCCGCGAAGTCGACGATGACATTGCCAAAAGGCTGGAGAAGGCGACCGGCATCCAAGGCTACGACGGTATCAAGAATATGCAGTTTAACGGTACGCACAATGGCATGGCGACGGATGACAAGGTGAAGCATGCCAACGGCATCAACGTCAGCAAGTGCACAAGCATGACGGAGGATAATGGAGCGCCGCGCATGGGAATGCACAATTTGGGTGGAAATTGAGGAAACATGTATTAACGACTATAGGACAATGAAGTACATGCAGTTGTCCAAGATAAAATAACGATATGTTCAAGCTTATTTCAACAAACAAATGACATAAAGTACAAAGCCATTTGCGAAACTGCCTGACCCTAAATGTGGTTTGCAAGGGAAGGCAACGAGCAAACAAATCAACTATGCCAAGAGCCTAGATCGAATAACTTTGTTAACCTTTTAGAGCTCACGCATTCTGCTGGAATCATTTTTGGCAATCTCAGGACCAATTGTGTTGAGTTTCAATCAAGGGGTCGGTCACACTTGTCGGGGTTTCTAGGGTAGGTAAATTATTTCGCATAGTTATTCACAAGTCGCAGCTTGCTTTGTCTTCATGTAACCTGCATCATCGTATCAATCCAGCCTGTGCTTGCAGGGAGCAAACCATGTCCAATCCTTTTCCTTGGACTAAGGCAGCGTTATGCATGCAAGCCTAACTGAAGGGCTTCCTCTTTCGTCGCGGAAGATGAAAATGACCACCAGCACGAAGAACTGGCGCCGGAAAGTCGGGGACTTGGCCTAAACCCCCGCAGACGCGAGCTTGGCATCTCTGACAGATCCATCCTAGACCTCGACAGCTGCATATCCTGGGGGAGGAGACCCCGATTATGCGCCTCCCACGATGCGCCCGACACGAAAGCCCTGCGATCCTTGCGCAGTGAGACGAACGGTGACCTCGACTCTCAGGTGTCGCTGACATTCGCCAGCAACATGGGAGCAGACCACAGCAACGGCAATATGGTCGACAATGGCGGTCCCGCCAGCGGCCTGTCGCGAACGGGGGCTGTTCCCCAGCAGCAGCAACCCAAGCCTCCAGAGGCAAGCAACACCAAGAAGCGCAAGGTGAGTGAGGATGCGACAAATGCGACGACGGCACGGAACGATCTGTCAGCGCCGCCGCCACCCATCCACACGCGAACCATGGCAGCTTGTGATGCGTGTCGGGTGAGCAAGACGCGATGCGATGCTGCCAGGCCCGTGTGCGCAAAGTGTCTCAAGCGTGGCCGCAATTGCGTGTATCCAGACCGAGACCCAACATCCATGTACGTCGCCCGCCAAGAGAACCTCAGCGGTGCTAACTGTACGTCAGGTTCGAGACATGGGGCAAGAAGATCCTGAGTGCTTTGGAGAATCAAAGCCAGTTACTCTCTGAGGTCGCCCAGAGCACAGCACACAACATTCACCTCCAGCAGCACCACCAACACCACCACCAACAGCAATCACCCCAATCATCACACCACCCACCAGCCCTAGATGACGATGACCCGGAGAACATGTCTCGGAAAGACGTCCCCTGGACACCCATCACCGGATCAGACAAGATCCTGAACTGGATCGTATTTCCAAGAGAAAGACCGGCGCAGACACTGCCGCCATCAGCATTCGTCGCCAAGCCTAATCACTGGGCACTGGAAACAGCGAGCCCCTCAGTCGCGCGCATATACGAGCTTCGCGACATCTTCTTCTCCCAGGTGGAACCCAAATGTCCGCTCGTGGATGTCGAAGACCTGGATGCCTACATTGCTGAGGTGATTGAGCATGGCTTCGCATGGACTTCGTCGTCCTGCCTCGTCCTCATCGTGTTCGCTCTCGCCGCTATTTGGGGCCACTACCCCGATGATGAGCGGCGTTTGGTGGTATCGAACAGTGCAGCCGAGAGATACACGGCTGCTGTACCGGAGCATCGAATTCGGGAATCGTCCATCTATCTCGGCATGGCCCAGAGGCGCTTGTCAGCCGCATCGCAGGACGAGTCGCTCGTCGGAGCACTGTGTTATTTGCTTTACGGGTAGGTCAATTTTGGTTCGATCTAAACCGTCAGCTGATCGTCAGAAATTGGCTCCAGTACAACTTCGAACCTATCCAGGCTTGGAAGATGTTCCGCACCGCGTCGACGTTGTGGGAAACATACAACCTGAAATGTGCGCATGGGAGAGTGCAGAAGCCAAAACGAGAGGCGAGTACGTCAGCCCTGCCAATATTACAAACCTGGATGGATTGTTAATGGAACATATAGGTCTTGAAGCACGATGTTACTGGACCTGCCTGAAATCCGAGTAGTGAGTGCTGAGGCATCAGCGTCAAGGTCGTTCAACAGCTGACAGGGGCAGCGAAATGCGTTACGAAATACCCGATCTACCCCCATGCTCTCTACAAGAGTCGCCGTCGATCCCTTTCTCCAGCTCGCCGTTCAGCGAGGGCGTCCCCAATGGCTCCGACCACCTCCTCCACAACGACTCTCCTGGGAGTGGCTACAGCGTCAACTTCACACCATCTTCTCACTACTACTTCCTTGCCGAAATATCCCTTCGACGGCTACTGAACAGGGCGCGCCACGCCGCCACCATGCTCTCCCCGAACATAGACTCCATCACCGCCGCACGTGTAGCCGACATCATGCATCAGCTCGAGGGACAGCTCCAGAAATGGCTAGAATGCCTCCCTCCCGCATTGCGCTTCAACGTGCCGCCCGACTCATGGCCGGCGCCGGACGAGCCAGAGCTGGTCAAGCTCATGCGAGAGCGGTATGTCGAGGTTCGCGAGCTGCTGTATCGGGTGTTTCTGTACATCTGCCTGCATGGAGGGACCCGCCTTACCCATGCCCAAGCCAAGATGTATGGCGCAAAGGCGTCAGCTGGTCTGCGGCTCAGCATATACCGAATCAACACCGAAAGGCCGTTCTATCGCCATGCCGGGTCGTGGATTGCATGCAGAGTCCGTTTCAACCAGGCCCTGTGTCTGTTGGCGGCGGTCAGAGGCTTGGAGATGGCGATCGAGTCGGCCGCATATGTTGCAGTGCCTCCCACGTGGCGCGAGTGCGTGTGCATGGTGCGCGACCGGCTCGAGACGTGGAGTGATCAAGGTGGCGGCGTTGGGGAGCTCGCTTTGCTGCTGGGGTGGCTGTTGAAGTAGGAGAATACTGGACAGGGGGTCAATGAGGGGCCGCTGCCTAGCCATGGCTTTTGATCTCATGACTTTGGTGAGTATGCAGGGGAGTCTCGGTTTATGGACCGACGTCGGACCATGGATGACTTGTGGTGACAGAAGTACCCTCGGCGCATCACGAGACATGGCCTGAGGTGCTGGGACGTGCGTACCATTGGCGAAGAGCCCCGAAGAATGCGATGAGGATCCCCGCATGCAAACCTCCGTCGGGGCCATGTCGAAGTCCGGGGTCAGATCACGACCCACCTCTCCAGCGCCTCCGGCGGAGGCTCCCCGATCAGCTTCAAGACTTCGTGAGCAGTCGCGTCGATTTGTCAGTCAATGGCAATAACTCTGGAGACTGGCCGTGGCCACTAATCTGGAATAGTTGCGAGTAGGGAGTTGTATAAAAGGATGGACATCACCCTGTGCTACTTATTCAGGTCATACACGAGCGCCGAAACAGCAAGCACACCGTTACATCTTGACAATCACAACCACTTCAACATGTCTTCAATCGACGAACTTCTCAAGCACCAATCATTCGAGGCCTTGACCCCGGATCAAGTGTCCTCTTTCATGACTCATGGCTTTCTACGCCTGCCGGGAGCCATCCCACTCGAGAACTGCGATCGCTGGATGAAAGACCTGTGGCCTCGTCTGGGAATGGACCCGAATGACAAGTCCACCTGGACAACGGAATGGAACACCATGTCCAAGCTCAACGTCGCTCCGGCCGCCGAGCTCGCCCCGACAGCCTGGGCCGCCATCTGCGAGCTCTGCGGAGGGGAGGACCGGATTGCCAAGGGCGGCGAGATGTGGACCGACGGGTTCATTGTGAATCTGGGTAGTGTCGAGAACGAAGGGAAGATGGTCAAACCCAAGGATCTGCCTGGGTGGCATGTGGATGGCAACTTCTTTACACACTTCCTTGACAGCCCCGAGCAGGCGCTTCTTGTGATCCCATGTTGGTCTGATGTCGAGGAGAACGCTGGGGCGACGGTCATCTGCACCGAAGGACCCAAGCTCATTGGAAAATTGCTGGTAGTAGCTTGCGTGCGTCATGTCTTTCAAACCATCATGGCTGACCATTCGCAGTATGATCACCCAGAAGGGCTAAATCCAATGATGGGCCCCCGTGATAACCGGCTGGATATCGACCCAAACTTCTTCAACTCAATCGTACAGGATTCCCCAGATGATACCTTCTTCGAGATGACGGGCAACAAGGGTGACGTTGTCCTTATGCACCCCCTGATGCTGCACAGCGCCAGCAAGAACAGCAGACGCCTCGCCCGTTCGTGAATCCCTTCCTTATGGAACAAGCACAGAAGCTGACACAGCACAGGGGTCATCACCAACCCACCCGTCTCGCTGGCGGCACCCTTCCAATTCAACCGCAAGGACCCGTCCGAGTACAGCCTCGTTGAGCTCAAGACCATGCAGGACGTCGGCGGACCTGAAAAATTCAAAGACTGGAAAATCACCGGCGAGAGGGAAATGTTTGCCCCGGAGCGGGTTCAGGGCCAGGAAAAGCGCAGAAAGGAGGAAAATGCACGTCTGGCGAAGCTTGGGCTGAAGACGGGCGACGACTCGATCAGTCAAATGCCATATCTGATGGTAGCTCAAGCCAAAAGGCAAGCCGGCGTTGTCTGATTGGAAACGTTAAGGGGTTTAGTTCAATCGCAGGGAACACAAGTAGAATAGCTTGTTAGCTCGTGACGGGACTCTGCAACTCCTAAGCTTTCAATGTACATCGGAATCACCTGGTCTTGTGTCAAGGGAAGTCAAAGTTCACCTCTCCAATGAGGATTTGATTTATTGAAAGGTCACACTGATCATCCACATGTGTAGCAATATCCAACCTACAGCATCCAACAACTTGCACTCTCGCAAGGTGCCTTGGTGTTGCACTCCTTGCATTTGGCGCCCAAGCTTCCCAGCTCCAACTGACGCTTCGCTGTGAACCACTGACAGGCTTCGCTGCCAGCCGCTTTGACCCCATACTTACGCTTCCACTCGCCGCAAGCAATGGCCTCAACGCGATGCCCATCCTTGCCAGGATACTGGTGGCGGGAGGCGCCGGCGTGAAACCACCGCTTACCACCCTGCACGCAGCACTTATCGCCCTGGATGCAGATGCAGAGGCGCGTGTAGACAACATGCATGCACATGGCTGCGGCGGCTTTGTGGTTTCAAGTGAGTAGTGCAAGGTCGGTAGGCGTCGAGATCTGGTTCTTGTCCAGCAAGAAAACGATCAAAATGACGGGTATTATACTGCTTGATGAGAACGATGAGATGGATCAATGAAGACTAAAGACGAGGTCTTAAGTAACTTCAGAAGACATGGTGTTCTGTGTTCTGGTCACAACACCCAGCGTTCCAATGGATGTTGGTACAGACATGTTCTTTGCGCTAGTTGCTTCTCGTACCAGACATATCTGTAGAACATCAAGTTTTGAAGGGAAATTGGACTTTTGTGCGAGGCTGGAACGCAGCCTGGTTTGAGATGTCGGCTCACAAAGCGCAACGACAAGGATCGAAACAGAACAAGCACGAACAATGCCACCGAGAAAGGCCTTTTTTCCTTATGACAATAGGCCTTACTTACAAAGACCGAATTATGGAAGACGAGTGTGGAGCTCCTTCAGTGAAGCTTTGCTGCAGAAGACGATTTGTTCTCACAACATGAATACTTGGCGGTTCTTTACCCAGTGCCTCGCTAGAGACTCACTATCAACAGCTCCAGTCATCTGGATAGTATATATCAATGATATCTTGTCGCATTCTCAAACGTAAGGAGTTCTAGAGCGAGCCACTGACAGGAGTGAAATGCAGTGGCGGATGCTCTGCATCCGAATACTCGGCGTCGAAGCAGAGCACATTGGAAAGCACGGTGAATTCCTTCGGATTGCCGGCGATCCTATCACAGCTATCCAGATTGCCTTTTCGCGCAGGTCAATGGACTACCTCACGTAGTGTCGGGTATTTCCAAGGGCTCCCTGTTGTCTTTGATGATGTCTGGGGTCTCACTCGAACAGAACTACCAGACTCTAGACACACCCGTTTGAGGTCGCAATTGACTCGGATCTCGACAAGGTTAGACAGACATTCCCAGGTCATAGAAAAGGTAGTTCGTGATTATGAATAGTCTGACAGACTAGGATGGCTGAGACACCATGAACGTGCCCAGCTTTATCAGCTCCGGTTGTCGATGGACATGGTCCTTCGAGAATCGATTTCGCGTCATTCCACAGTGTACAAGTATGGAGCAATTTACCTTGTCTGTCGGCTGTACTTATACGATTTTTCTGGGGGCGTCGACTTTCAGGCTGCTGTTGGACATTGGATAAGGCGTCTCAGGGGCACGACGTGCAACGCCTCGCGAACCGTACACAAACAAGAAGCTTCATCTCGAGGCGTCAAGCGGATATCTGAGCGCTCCACCACGCTGGATGCGAAACGACCGGTTGTTGCCAATCCTGGCAATCTTGCGGCCACCGCTTGCACCCTCGCTCTCCTTCGGAATGGCGCCGGCAATATTGATATATGCATCCGAAAAGCACCGCTCTGGGGCTTTGAGAGCGCTTTAGGTATCACGACCGCCAAAGTGATCGCGCCGCGTACACATAGGGCCGGATCAGACTGTCCCTTGCCTGCTGCACGCTGTAAAAGCCGGCAGCTCAGTCTGTCTTCTATGAGGGTTTGGTGTTCAGAATAGTCAACTGAAAAGACACTGTCCGAATTAGCAGCCAGGCTCTAACTTGGACATGTCTTCATCCAGGCAGCTCCACAAAGTAAATAAGACGACGAAAGAGAATAGACAACGATTCCAACGCTGTCCTCGATTCCTCGACCCCCAGCTGGGGTCCGGTGAACTGGGATTGATACCACCCTGTAGGAATAGAATGCATGTCAGAACAGCGAGGGTTGACGTCAGATTACATGCAGTGAACAGTTGTGAGATTGTGGGCAGGGAGTAGTTGGAGGATCATGTTTCCACGACTGCTGAAAGCGAATCGATCTGTTCTTGTGGAACCATCCAGACAAGCAGCTATCGCCACCTACCTTAAGCGAAACGGGGGAGATGTGGTGAGAGCGGCGCGGCTGTGAGTATCCATCTCGATGACCTCAGCTTCGTAGTTTCCTCTGTTTACTCCTTTCCCAGGACAATGATAATTGTCTGATGTCGTTCCTCGAGCTGCCCGCTCCCAAGTGACCAATCTGATTGATTTACGCTGGAAGTACGATTGACCTCGACTGTGTCTTCTGCCGAGGCTGCCCAAACTAGGTGCGGTCTACTTGATGAGCTCGATGTTGCTGATTCCTGCGATCGAAGGGAAATTCTTTGCAGTATGCACGTATTACGACGTCCATATACGTTCTTAAGTAGACCATCGCTCGTCCAAAGCGGGGAGCGACAGCCATAGGGTGCGATTGACGAGTTGTGCATTAGTTACCCATTACAGCATAGTCTTCACCCCAGTGCACTTGATCCTGTCGACAACGGGCTCTGATTCGTCAGATGCCGGCACTAGTCCCACATTGGATCTCCCCACACGCTCGGCCGCACCTTAACTAGAAGAAGGTGCGACGCAGCCGGACGACTCGACGTTCTGATGGGACGATTTTCATCAGCGACCTCGCACACCAAGCTTTCGACCTACCAAGTTAGTCTTCACAACGCCCTGCCGATCGGCCTCTCACATCTTATCGGATAAAGGGATAGAGACTCAGAAGCCCTAGGAGCATCCTTGTTCTCGCCGCAGATAGCCGGTCACCCAGGACGCCATGGCGTTCCGGGACCAAGACCCGTTCAACATGCTGGAGTTTGACCCTACTGCATTCGACCCTACAGCGCTCGACTTCACTCAAGCCGAGTTCCCTTCAACAAACCATGCAGCCGAGGATCAGGAATTCACATTTGATCAGCCATTCTCCGGCGCCATGCAGCACGGTTTCGATGGAACCCTACCATTCTTCGACCCGACCTTGAGCCTAGACGCGTTCAGCGCCATCCAGAACCAGCAGCCATGGCCTGACAACACCATGCTGGACATGAGTTCGCAGTCGGCTACCCCAGGATCGCTGCGGACAGACAGCCGACCGGAAACACCAGGTCTGCCGGCTGCTAATGCATCCTCCTCCTCAGCTCTGCCACCAAAGGTGGGCACGCGCTTCTCACGAGAGTCTCTCAAGATTCTACGCAACTGGTTGAGCACTCACTCACGACACCCTTTCCCGACTGATGAGGAGCGCGACATGCTGGAGCGACAGACAGGCTTGAACAAAACGCAGATTCTCAACTGGCTTGCCAATGCACGGCGTAGGGGCAAAGTACCCGAGTACAAGACCGCATCGCCACGCACCGAGAGCCCGGGTGGCAGAGAGATTCCGAACAGGAGGAGGGCTGGCACGCCGGCGCCAACATCCAGAACACCCTTCATGAATCCGCTGGAGAGATGGGTCGACTCTCCTCCTGAACACGAGCCAGCGAATCCGGATGCCATTGCATTAGCACTTGCGTCGTCGTCCCCTCTACCCAAACGCGACTCATACCACCATACGCCGGCTGACACATTCTCCGGCAGCTCACACTGTCGACCATCACCAGCGAGTAGCAACGGCACTTCCCGCTCTAGTAGCTCAGCCTATTCTCACGAGAGCCGGGACTCGACAGGTTCCCTCAGCCTCTTTTCAAGCAGGCGGCAGCGACGGAAGAGGCGCGGCGCACGTCAGCACAGTAGTAACAAAACACCACTCACAGCTCCCACAAACACGTTCCAATGCACCTTTTGCACCGAGACCTTCAGTACCAAACACACCTGGCAGCGCCATGAGAAGTCCCTTCACCTTGCACTCGACCGTTGGGTCTGTGCACCCCATGGCCCTACTTCATCGAACAATGACGGGATACAGAGCTGCGTCTTCTGTGGGGAGTTAGATCCGGGCATCGAGCACATGCAGAACCACAACTACACCATCTGCCAAAGCCGACCCCTTGAGGAACGCACATTCCACAGAAAAGATCACTTGGGTCAGCATTTGCGGCTTGTTCACAATCTGAAGCCGGCGCAGCTCGTCCGGCAGTTGAGCGAGTGGAAGATGGAGAGCCCCGATGTGAGATCGACGTGTGGCTTCTGTGGGCTGGAAATGAGCACGTTCGCGGCGAGGGCGGACCACCTGGCGGAACACTTCAAGATGGGCAGCACCATGGCTGACTGGAAGGGCGACTGGGGCCTAGATCCGCATATTCTCTCCAGGCTGGAGAACGCCATGGCACCCTACCTCATTGCTCTCGAGAGGAACTCGCCCTACCCCTTCAGCGCCTGCAATGCGCCACTCGAATCTCCGATCAATGCGTACGAGCTGATCAAGCTTGAGCTGATGAATTTCATCGACATTTACTACGACAGGACGGGCAGGATCCCCAGCCCAGCAGAGTTGCAATCCGACGCGTGTCGCATCATCTTCGCAGCAGAGGTGCCCTCGTACCATGGCGACGAATCCTCCTCGTGGCTGCGGGATCTAATTCTTTCGGCCGATGACATTGTCCAAAAGGCGAAGCTCAGTCCCCTGCGCTCCGCCAAGGAGAGCCGGTTGACATTCCTCCACATCATCGGTAAAAAGAGCCCCTTTGAATCTTGTCCTCTGGAGGCCCAGCTATTAGAGTTTGTGCACGCCCAGCCTCCTGAATCGCTCACAGAGGCTCGAGTACACCGGCAAGCGGTCGATATTCTTCGGAAAATGGAGAGCGCTTCTTCATCGCCGTCAGACATTGCCACTACGTGGCTCCTGGAGCTGGCACGGTCCTCCAAAAGCTGGCTGAAGCGGTTCCAAATCCGGGCGGGTGTGAATCTGTCCGAGACTGCGCAGTTTGAAGTAACGCCCACTCCCATCGATCAGGTGTTGCAAAACTATGAACAGCTGGAAAGCAAATTGGCCGAGAAGGTGGAGTTGCTCCGACAGCACGGGATCGAGCCCGACGATACAGCACTGCGGCAGCAGGCCCTCAAGATCATTGACGAATTCGACAATGCGGAATGGAGAGCACTGGCGGCAGGCAATCACGGGTGGCTTGCACGATTCAAGCGGCGGCATCTGCCTTGGGCGGATTCGTATGGCTTTTATGCAAGGTTCTCCGACACGGCTAACCAAGCGTCCTGTCACAACGACCAGACAATGTCCGATGGCAACAAGAGCCCGCACAGGCCTGGCCTCATCAAGATGAAGATAGGCGAGTACTACTTGAACGATCCCAACTTTGATAAGTGGGTGGCCCGGGAGTTAGCGAGGTGGGTAGCGGCGACAATGTCGCCCAACAATCCGAATCAGCATGTCCCCACGGACGAGGAGCTGAAGCACCAAGCAAGATGGATCATGTATGAAGAGTTAGTAACTTGGTTCATCACGGAAAAGACTGCGGGCTAACAGTAGCAGTGGCGATAGCTTCAACACGACCATGGCGGACAGTGACGAATGGCTACAGCGCTTTAAGCGTGATGCCAAGATCCTCCACGACCAGGGACCAGGTCTTCTAACAGAGCTGCAGAATGTCTGATGGTCTCTGTTTTCACATCACGCAAGACACTCGGTGGTCGCTGCGCCAGTGCAGTAGGGGGAATTGGACAGACGGCCTCATGAATGTTACAGCCAGTTATACACGGTGAAGCGCAGAATAGTTAATTACTAAAATTCATCAGTTATTCCATCTGATCAACTGTTGGCGTCCGCTTGCCTTCCTCCTCCTGAACTGGCTGAACCGCCTTGCCATCCTTCTCGCTCACGACAGCTCTCCATCCAAGAGGGTCTTCCACCTTACCCAACTGAATACCCTTGAGCTGGTTCAGAAGCTTCAAGCAGATGGCACCAGCTTCCTCCTGGTCATCACCGAGGAACGTGACTGTCTCAGCGCCATCGGCCCCAACACTCACCCGCGGCGAGTCCTTGGGCAGACCCTGCCCCGTGACGACCCGTCGAGTGATGCTGCGGATGGGAACGAGCGCGGCCGCCGTTCCAGCGGCCATGACCTCGGAGAAGCGCGAGAGCTCAGGGTATTTGATGCTCCTCTTCTCCACCTTCCACCCGAAGCTCTCTCCAATCTTCAAGATAGAATCGCTCGTGACGCTGTCGATGATGCAGCTCGAGTCCGGCACGACCAGGGTGACGTCCTCGCCGTCGACAATGGCGCCAATGAAGCCACTTGTGCTGAACTCGTCCACCTCCTCGTGCCGCGCGCTGTCCAGGTGCAGGGTGATGCCAAAGCCCTCGCTGCGCGCCTTGTCGCTCCACCGCAGGACGGGGGCGTAGTTGCCGCCCACCTTGGCGTTACCCGTGCCGTTGGGCGCCGCGCGGTCAAAGTCCTCGAGGATCAGCGCCTTGACGGGGTGTGTGCCGTGGTAGACGCCGGTGGGGATGACGAAGACGCAGAACGTGTACTCCTCGGGCGGGCTGAGGCCGAGCTGCGCGCTGGACCCGTAGATTTGGGGACGGATATACATGGCGGCGCCCGTCTCGTGGGGGGGTACGTACTCGGCGTTGAGGGCGACGGCGGCGCGGCAGGCTTCGAGGAACATGTCGACGGGCACGCGGGGCATGGAGACGACGTCGGCCGAGTGCTGCATGCGCAGGGCGTTGCGGTCGGGGCGGAAGATGGTGATGGCCTCGTCCGAGGGGGTGCGGAACGCCTTGAGGCCCTCGTAGGCTTGCTGGCCGTAGTTCAGAGCGGGCGCCATGCCGTGAATGCGCATGTAGGGCGACTCGACGAAGCGCAGGGGCGTCCATTGCTTCGTGTGTACCGAGTAGGTGGATTCAATGTGGCCATTGACTAGAAATGTGTTAGCTAGGCTTGCTCGGGACGCCGCAGGGGAGAGGATGGATGTCCTCGGTGATCAGCACCTTCGCGAACTTTGAAGCCCACATTGGACCAGTCAATCGTGTTGACGGGAGGCGGCGGGAAGGCTGTCATGGTAGCAGGTTTGATGGGAGTATAGCTCTCGAGGGTGAAGCAGGCGTACAGGCGTGTATGGTCCCGGATGAGGTTCTACAAGGTCTGGTCGGTCAAAATAATAATATTAGGCGGCGTTGGAGCAGGACGGAAGTTGAGCTGATGCTGTCCGATGTCGGGAACATTCTCGTGCGTCAGTGATGGAGGGGCAGCGGATGTCTCTGGTGGAGGGGCACACGTCCGCAAGACAGTACGTACCTTACCTTACGGTACGGATACAGAAAAATGAAAGCTGAGCTAGAGCTACCCCAAGTAAGGTAGATCAACCGCTAATGGAAAAAATTGTCCGGCTTCATGTCGTATTTAGGTCATGATCTGAAGAGGCAGATGGGCATCGTCACCAGCTTCTGTTCATGGACGCGGTCACGCACTATCGTGTCTATGTGTAGTCCGTTCTTGAAAAACATATCAGGTAGTCTTATATTGCCCCTAGCTTCATTCTCCTGCGCTAATATTTTATTGTATTGTGTGCATTATTGACCCATTTCTAACGTACGTTGCAAACCAATGTCTTCCCAAAGACGCTCGCATCAGGCGCCTCCCGAAGCAGCAGCCAACTTTTGTAAACATGTCAAAACCCCTGAAACATGTTAGTGAACTGCGTGAAAGTCATGGGCATGAACAAAACGTACCGCTCACACCTTGCGTAACCGTAGCTGTCGCCTCCGTGCTGCGGCTGCCCAGGTTGACAGTCACGGCATGCTGGACCGTCTTCTCGCCCAGGTAGTTCGCCCATTTGAATACCTTTTCGTCCTCACGCCCATCACCAACGACCATCAGGAAATCAATCGGTCCCTCGCCAGAAGCGCTCATATCTTCAAACACCTTCTTCGCTGCTGTCTTCTTGGTCCAGTCAATCGGCTCCACGACAATCGATCGCTCGAGCGGGATGGCGTGCACGCGCTGCGACTCACACGCGTCATTCACATGACTGGCGCATTCAGAAGCTTGCCGCGCCGCCGCCTCAATGTCCTCGGCCCCGTGGTAATGGAACTGGAAGCTGCAGTGTCGCTCTTCAATCTCGGCTCCGGGTGTTCTCTCGAGAAAGTAGGTGAAGATTGGCCTCACGGCCTCCTTCCACGTCTCAATCTGCGTTCTGTCGGCCATCTCTGTCCACTCATCGCTCTGGGCTGCTTTGACAAAGCATCCATTCTCCGCAATGAGGCCCAGGTTGGGCACGCGTCGGAAGACTCGCTCCAGTTCCTTGGGGCGGCGCCCTGACATGACGTAGACCGTGTTGCGCTCGTCGAGCAGGAGATCGTTGAGAATGTCCAGAGTCCGTTGAGGGCTCACAGGAATGATCTGGGTCAGGGGGCCCCAGCTGACTAGTGTACCCTCGTAGTCAAGCACAAACAGACGGCGCTTCGACTGTTGATATTTCCCGACCACGTTTGGAATCGACAGGCGCGGCACGGATGTCTGGTCGCGCTTGTGCTGTCCGCTGTACGACGTCTCAAGGTGCGTTAGGAACTCGGTGAACCAGTGAGACCCGGTATGTTGCGCGACAGCCCCGTGCAGAAGCTCCCATCGGCGTTTCTTCTCCTCGGGTGACATCTCAAGGGCTTGGCGGATCGCCTCGGCGCATTGACGGTAGTCCCAAGGATTCACCGACAGCTCATTCTTGTTGAAGAGCGAAGCAGTGCCAGCAAACTCAGAGAGGATCAAGGAGCCGTGCTTCTTTTCCGGCAACAGGCTGCCATCCTGGCAGAACAGATACTCATGCGATGTCAGATTCATACCCTCACGCTGACTGGTGATCATGAGCGCGTCGGCAATCGTCAGCAGAGCCAGGTACTGCGCGTAGTCAATGTCTTGCTTGAGGTAGACCACGGGCTGATATGCCAGGTTTGCCCACGACGAGTTGACGCGTGTCACAATGTCCGAGACGGTAGCGTCCAGGTCACTCTTTTCGCTCGTCGAGAGAGCCACTTGGATCAGGACGGTATGCCCCCTCCACTCGGGATGCTTGTTGAGAAACAGCTCGTATGACAGGAGCTTCTGGCGCACGCCTCTAACGTGGTCCAGCTTGTCTCGTGCCACAATGAGCCTCTTTCCCTTGTAACGCTCCTGCATGATCTTGAGCCACTTGATGACATTCTCCTCGTCGCGGTGCTTGCCCAGGCTCACGGGATCGATGCCAATGGCCATGTCTGTCACATCAACGAACCGATCCTCCAACTCGATGCCTTCTGTTGTGGCCTCCACGTTGAGAATGCGGCTGCACGTCTGCAGAAAGTGCCGTGTGTATTCGGGGATCTGAAAGCCGACAAGATTGGCGCCCAGCATGCCCTCTAGGAGCTCCTTGCGCACGGCAAGGCATCGAAAGACCTCGGATGATGGGAAGGCGACGTGCAGGAAGAAACCAATCTTGGCCTCGGGAAGTTTCTGGCGCACCATGCCCGGGACGAGGAGCAGATGGTAATCGTGCACCCAGACGACGTCGCCTCGTTTCCAGTTCTTGACGATCTTGTCGGCAAAGGCCTGGCACACATTGACGTAGTATTTCCACGAGTGGTCTTCGTAAGCTTTGCTCTTGGGGTTATCGGGGATCTGGTAGTGGAAGACGGGCCACAAGATCTGCTTGCAAAAGTGCGCATAGTGTCCATCAAAGTCCTTGTCCGAGCAGAAGACGGTCAGCATGTCATGCTCGGTCGCCATGGTGTCCTCGATATCCTGCTTCTGCTGCGTACCGTCGAGGGCGTCGGTCGGCATGCCCAGGGTGCCAACCCAGGTGTATTCTGACAACTTGCCCTCCCGCGCCGCCGCATCAGCAGCATTGCGCAAGCCTCCGTTGCCCTGGTCAGCATCGACAATTTTCCATCCGGCCGATGCAAAGACACGATCGTGACTTTCGCTGCGGACCAGTGGCTTCGGTTGAATCACGCCTTGACGTCCCAGCTCGCGCGCCTTCTCTACGGTACGCCCATGTTCGGCAATGGCAGCTGGAGGCGGCGAGTTCGCGCGCGACTTTGGTTGGTTGAAACGGCCGCCCCAAGCCGTAGAGATCTTGTCAGAGGGAGACCCGAGATCATTGGGGAACTGTACGCGGATGCCATCCTCGTTGGCAAATGGATCGGGTTGCTCTTCTTCGTACGTCGGTGTCTGGGGAGGTGTGATATCGGGCCGCGGCGTGAAGAGACTCGGTGTTGGATCGATGGTGACTTTCGGCTTCACTTTCGTTGTAGTCGGTGCTGTCGTTCGTCGCTCGAGCCCAGATGAAGTCCGCCGAGGCTGGCCTGGGAGGTTGAAATGAACAGTCTTGGGGAGGAAGCTGCCGCGATTCTGTTAGCCAACGTGATACGGACAGCTTGCGCGAGCTTTGCCCGTGGCACAACATACAGAGAGCAGATGAACACAGTCATGGTGACTTGAGATGGCCGCAGAGCAGACGGCGAAACTGACGACTCGGCGTTGCAATTTCCACTTCTAGATCACACTCGTCGGAGCAGGTTGATGATGGAGGGGTATGTGGGATACGTCTGATCCTGCGCAGGCGGGACAGCTCGCACACAGCACGTGGACGTCTGAATTTATTATTGGCAGAATGCAACTGTCGAAAATGGGATCCTCACGATGGAACATGGAACGACAATTGAGCCTATTATGCGTTGTTTCCGAAAAATTCCATCGAAGCTTGTTGGAGGGGCATCTTCCTCTTCCCTGATTGACCTCTGACGTAATGAGGCCACGCGCCTATGTACAAAGTGACACGTATGAGATTGGGCGTAAGGTAAGGTAGAAAATGGATTCGTGAATGCTGCGGCCCGCCTTGCTGGATCTTCGATTGCTAAAAAGACCCGGAGCGCGACCTCCTTTCAGGCGCGTAGATTGTCCATGGAGTGGTCTAGGCCCGAGGAGGCAAAGGTCCGCTCCCCGTGGATGTCTCCAACTTGAAACCGCCATTTATGGAGCTTTGGATTCTCATAGGTACCTGTACACCTTATTTAGGATCTTTTCTTTTATAACCGAGAACACGCTGTTGCACCCTCCGGGAATGGCGGCATCCCCAATCGGGTAAGGCGCCCTCGCCGCCGTGACCTCGCCGCCGTGACCCCGCCACCCATGCGTAGCACCATGCCGCCTCGCCGCCATATAAATATCCGTCCTCCATCCTGCCCCTGCAACATATATCATCGACTTCTCTCCCGCCCGTTAAAATGCTCGCCGCCCTCATTCCTAGGCTTGTGCCTGCGCCGATCTACAATCTTAGCCTCGTTATGCTACGTGAGGCGGCCCCTAGCGCCCCTTCGCCTAGCATCCTTGCCGCGACGGCTTTTAGAGAGCGCCGCCTCTCTCCCCTTCCACTCTAAACCGTGGCTATCTCTACAGCTTTGCCCGTACAGACTCTATAAGGAAGGACATAAGCCGCCTCCAGGCCACGATATCACTAGCACTAGCGCTATAGGTCTCTCCCCTATCCAACGGCCCCCCATGACGATCCGCACGCTAACCTCTTAAGAAGGTATGCCCTGCCGTCGTGATAACGATCCGCCCCGGGAGGCCGCCCACCAACCCTCGAGGCCCGTTACGTATCTTAGAACCGCCGCACCAGTCCCGAAAATACCGCAGACGCTAATCACGGCCATGCTCGACACGAGGCAGACCGATTATCTAACCGACTCGCGGCGGAGCGAGCGACGCCCCGGGCGAGCTAAGCACTACCCCCTGCCTCGATTGAGGTGAAGCCGGCCGACGTGACGCCGAGCCGTATATCTCGAACGATGGCCGCGCGCTATCCGCCGTCGAGCCCTAGCCTCGTGGGAATACGTATCCCTTTAATTAGCGTCGGATAACGCGACTAGATGTTTGGGGCACACGCTATAACGCCATGAAATAATCTAGGTCGTATAAGACCGGCCTCGAACCAAATCAGCATGCCAGCGTGACTATACAGAGCGCCTAAAGGAAGGCCTTATGTATATGCCGGTCGAAAGGGGGGAGAAAGGGCCGACGAGGCGCATCGGGCTTATGCGGGTAGCTTAGTTAACTTTCTAAGAACTAACTAGCAATAATATTATTGAAGAGTAGTACTCTTCTAGGCGCAGGGTAAGTGAATCGCGATAATCCGGGAACCCTTTAGGGTAGGCAAAGTAATAGGTGAAGAACTTAGTGAATGAATGACTTAATTTAGAACTATTTAGTAGTGAGCGAAGGCCTATATTTATAGGCGTGAGGGCGCTGTAATGCCCTGTAAAAGAGTGGGTCAAACCGAACCTAGTGGAAGGTTATAGAAGGTTTGATTTATAATAGCGAGTGTGGCAGTGCTAGCCTTCGAATATTATAGAAGGCAATAGAAGCACTGTATTTATAAGCGCTGTGGACCCTTGTAATAGGGTCTGAATAGATCCCTGTAAGGGTTCTGTGAGAGGGCCTCGTGAGGCACCTAATTAGGAGGATTAGCCCCCTATTCTTAACAAATATCGATTATCGCTATAGAAATACGCCGCTTATTCCGCCCGCCGAGAGCGCGTACCCGTGTGCTATCCCGACTACCTCTTATCCAATCCAGTAACGGGGAGATGCCGCGTTAGACGGCCGACGTTATACGCGGAGATACATGCGCCGACAGTCGCATCCCACACTGGTTTCGGGGCCGCCGATAGGTTTGCATTGCCTACACGGTGAGTCGATTAGTGGCGAGACCACTAGCTAAAAGAGATCTATCGTCACGGTCGCTTGAAGTATATCTCGGTAGATATGTGGTTAGCGGGCTGGCAAGATGAGGAGCTGGCCCTAACTGTTACGACCCAATATGCGGCCTTCACGTGCTTCCAGGCACACCCCACTATTTCCTATCCATTCACAGCACGATCATCACTTACACGAATGATCGCACCTGCGATCATTGCGATCATCACGAATCACTGCGAACGAGCAGAACAGATCATTATCAGGGACAATAATCACCTTAGTATATAGGAAGCCTAGCTTCACTATAGTTAGTCTCTACTAGCTCCCTAGCTATCAATATAATTATCTACGTAAGATCTACTATCTCGCACATAGACTATAACACGACCGCTTAAGTTAACGATATCCTAGTATACTTAGTTTATAAACCGACCTTAGATCTACCTACCCTATAGTTAGTCTAACCTAACCGTTATATATTAATAGCTCTTATTTAGTACACTACCGTATTAAGTACTTAAGCAATACGATACTATAGCTAGCGAATCCTCTAAGATAACCCCTGAGTCCGCCGATAAGGGTAAGGCCACGGCTAAGTATGCCGAGCCCTCTTAGATAGCTTAGTCCATAGACTTAGACTCGGATGAGTCCGACGACGAGGATATAAAGATCCTTAAGGGATAAATCTAAGAGTTATAAGGGTAGCTATAGCAAATTATCGATATATAGACCCGCGATAAGTAGTAATACGACGAAGCCTACCGTTCCTTTAACGAAGGAGTAACCTTATAATATTAGTAGGCCGCCTAGCTAAGGAACGAGATAAATAGCGTGAGTAATAATATTATTCGATAAGCTACCGGTAAGGATCTAGGAGAGATTATAAAGCTACGCTAACTAGGACTATTCGATAGTATAACTAAGGACCTTTAGGGATTCCTAACTTAGGTTAGGGCCTACTAATAATACTTCCCGTCTATCCTTCGTATAAAAGAAGATAAAGTACGCTATGCGGTAGGATATTTATTAGGAGCCGCTCTCGTATAATTCGAACCTACTCTTAGGGACTTCGTAACTAATACTTACTAATACCGAAAATAAGAGACGAAAGATATCTTCGTATACTATAATAACTTTAAAGAAATACTAAAGGCGACCTTCGGGACTATCGACGAAGAACGCCTAGCTAAGGACTAGCTAGAGGCGTTAAAGTAGAAAGGGTTAGCCTTAGATTACGGCGCCTTATTTACTTAAATCGCGTCTAGGACTACTAAGAGTAAAGGAGATAAGATAGCCTCCTTCTACCGAGGTCTTAAAGATAAGGTTAAGGACGAGCTATATAAGGAAGACCGACCCGCTACCCTCGCGAGCTATATCGCGATAGCCGTTAAGATCGATAACCGATAATTCGAGCGACGACGCGAGAAAAAAAGATAGTACTTTACTAATACCTTAAACCGCGATCGTAATAATAATAATCGGATCTATCCTAATATAGGTCGGCCTCGATTCTACTAAAGTACCGCTCTTAGCGGAACTCACGCGGGACTTATAGACTTAGACGCTATATAACGAAAGCTCGCTATAATAAATAAAAAGAATATTAAATATTATAACTACGAGAAGAAAGGTTATATCGCGCGAGACTATAAGTCTCTAAGAAAGGAACGAAACTAAGGCTAGAAACTAGTCCTAGAAAGTAAGTATAAATAGCTAAATATAACTAGATCCGGATATAATGTTAGTCTCCCGTAAAATATAGTATCCTCTAGGGAGAAGGAACGATAGAAGTTCCTCGAAGAAATAAGGAAGGCCGGAGAAGAAGCGAGAAAGTAACTAATACCCCACGAAGCGTTATACTAGTTAGGATACTACGACGATAGCTACCTAACCCATCGGGATAGTAAAGAAAACTTAGGATAGTTCCCTAAGGCACTACGCGGGTCTCGCGTTCTAGCTATAAGACGCAAAGCTACTATAAGGCTAGGGAAGTACCCGGACGACGAAGAATTATCCGACACCGACTCTATAGACAGCGACGAAGAGCTCCTATAAAAGAAATAGATACTCAAGACTAACCTACTGCACGGACGAGCAACCCTACGAGAATAGATAAAAGTAGCGATAGATCGATACGACCCTCTACCGTAAGGAAAAGACCTCTAGATAGTTATCCCCGCTTAGATACTAAACGGAGGAATTAATTAGGTAATAGACCGAAGAATAGTCTTAGGAGACGACCTATATATATACCTAGATATATCGAAACACTACGAACTCTTATAGATCTCTTATATATACTACTTCTGTAAAATATATATACTTAATAAAGGAAGGCATTAAGTCTACCTAATCAAGGGACTAGCCACCCGCGTTATTAACGATCTATACGAAAAAGACGAAGCGGAGTTCTATGAATATATATACGTAGAACCCGGCATAGGATATATAATACTAAGGTAGTTAGCGAAATACCCCGAAGTATACGCGCGAAACTAAAAAACGTAGCGTAGGTGTTAATCGGTGGACTGTCCTAGATATAATAGAGAGAAAGTATTCGACTAGCATAGGACTAGGGAATAAAAGGAGACGGAAGAACTCTAGCGATACGAGAACGCCGCGAAGGCACTACTTAGCATTAAAATAGTTAAAGCCGAAACTAGCGTAAAGGTAAAGCGCAAGCAAAGGGAATACGCCTTAAAGTACGGATAAGGATATAGAGGATATAGTA